TTCGCTCGGTCACGTACGACCCAAACCAAGGTGTTCTCATCAACGGCGAGCGTATCTACGTTCAGGGATCTTGCAACCACCATGACCTGGGCGCTCTTGGAGCAGCTTTCAACACCAGGGCTGCGGAACGTCAGATCGAAATCCTACAAGAGATGGGCAATAACGCTCTTCGCACGTCTCACAACCCGCCTGCTCCCGAGTTTCTTGATCTCGCCGATCGATACGGTCTCATGGTCATGGATGAGATCTTCGATACCTGGAACTTTCCCAAAGTGGAGAACGACTTCCATCGCATCTTCCAAGAATGGCACGAGCCTGACCTCCGATCGTTCATGCGCCGTGATCGCAACCACCCTTCTATCATCTCATGGAGTGTTGGCAACGAGCTTCCTGAACAAAGGAACTCTACTGGTACCGAAACTTGCAGGACACTTCAAGACATAGCCCACGAAGAAGACCCTACCCGCCAAGTGACCATCGGTATGAACAACGCCAACGCCACTACTGGAATAGCAGCCGTTGTCGACATCATCGGTTTGAACTACCAAGGTGAGGGCAAAGGAGACTCCTGGGTGAGCACCTTCCCCAGTTTCAAACAAGAGTTCCCCGAGAAGATGATCTGGAGCACCGAATCTGCATCAGCACTCAGCACTCGCGGCAAATACCTCTTCCCCATCACCGCAAACAAGAGTGCCATCGTAGGCGGCGGACCTGGGGAAGGCGGAGACCCCGAGAACAGCATTGTGTCTTCATACGATCTCTACGCACCTGAATGGGCCGCTTCACCCGATAAAGTGTTCGAACAGCAAGACAGGCACCCATATGTCGCTGGTGAATTCGTCTGGACTGGATTTGACTACATCGGTGAACCCACCCCATACGACAATTCAAGTCGCAGTTCCTACTTCGGCATTATCGACCTGGCTGGGTTCAAGAAAGATCGCTTCTACCTCTATCAAGCACGCTGGAGACCAGATCTACCCATGGCCCACATCCTCCCCCATTGGACGTGGCCCGAAGATCGCATCGGCGAGATCACACCCGTACATGTTCACACTTCTGGTGACGAAGCAGAACTCTTCGTCAACGGTGTCTCCGCAGGCCGTCAATCAAGGGGAAAGTACGACTACAGACTCCGCTGGGATGGTGTGAAGTACCGCCCCGGCAACATCAGCGTCGTCGCGTACAAGGACGGCGAAGAATGGGCCACGGCATCTCAGTTCACAGCAGGTTCTGCTGCATCGCTGAACGTGACTGCTGATCGCACGACAATCACTGGTGACGGTTACGACCTCTCATTCATCACTGTTTCTGTGCATGATGAGAACGGCATCTTGGTTCCGATGGCGGATGATGAGATTAGCTTTGAGGTCTCGTCTGGCCCGGGTGTTGTCGTTGCTACGGATAACGGTGATCCGACAGACATGAGCCCGTTCCCGGAGACGAAGAGGAAGGCGTTTGGCGGAATGGCGCTGGCTATCGTGAGGAGCGAGGCGGGTGCTAGTGGGGAGATTGTTGTTGAAGCGAAGGCGGAAGGGTTGAGTGGAGGGAAAGTTGTTCTTACTGCAAATTAGGTAGTATTATGTCATGCATGAGAGCAATTAATCTGAATGAATCCATATGATATTCGTTAGTATCATCAGTGTATTTTAAAGCTTAAGTGTGGGACATGTTGACCATCGCTTTGCCGTGGTAAGTCTACGTTGGACGAGTGTGTTCATGAATCGACGTCTTCGAGCCCATAGGTGAGTGTTGATAAGCTTCCAGCGCATCGGGTGGTGCGATCTGATGCTCTAGCGCGTCTGCATCGTAGACGCAACTTTGAGAACGCAGTGCATGTCGACTATGTCGTCGCAAAACGAGATGCAGATAATGGCGTATACTTCCAACACTAATTTCATCCCATCTCTGTCGAGATAGAGAGAATTTTCTCGTTGCCATAGCAAACTCGCGCGTCGGCGCCCGCAACCCACACATATAATATTTTGATCCCACCCGACTTCTGCCTCCTCACCACATCCACACATTCGAGTAAGCCCCCTAACCTTTGCACCTGCTCTGATATACAGACACTCACATCGTCACAGACTAGTCACAATGCAAATTGCCACTACCCAGAAAGTCGTGAATGCGCTCTCTCCTGCCCGCCGCGTCCCTGACATGCGCCGCGCCGCAGTTCACACTAATGTCACCGCCAACCCGGTCAGGCCGCTGTACCAGCGGCTCCATCGACCAACTTCTTCAAGGACAAGGCTAGCTGCCACTCCGGTGGCGGCGAAGCAAATTAAGCCAGCACCTCGTGTGTTGGCGTCAAGGACAATTACTACCGCTTCGGCGCCAAGGGTACCCAAGATACTTGCTAGAGCTCGAGCTGACTATAAGCAGAATGCGGATAGCAAGATCGGTAAGACGCGTATCCCGAGGCCTACGATTACGGCGGTAAAAGAGGCTAGTGTACGGAAGCAGTCGAGGCTTTGGGCGAGGATGACGAGTGTGGTTATTCGGCGTAAGATTACGGTACTCGCTGCCGAGACCACTACGGAGGCGGAAGATGATGAGGAAGAGCTATATGAGGAGGCCGAGAAGCCTACGATGGAGTTTGAAGAGCCCGCGTCGGAGATCGATGAGCCCGCGGACGACGACATGGACAACACTTCGCTCATGTTCAACGACAACAGCTTCGACGACTCCGTCAGCCCTGAGCAGCAGACTTCTGCCATGAACCTCTTCGGACGGAAGATGGTCAGTATGAAGCGGCTCGGTATGGGGCTACGCACTAACCGGGACTGGTTCGTTGGACTGTCTCGCTGCCCTGACTACACCGGTGATTCGGTTGGTCTAGAGCGCGTGCGATCAAGGACTACGGTGACGACTGAGTCTCATCTGACACAGGACGCCAGTGAAGGAGGTAAGTTCATCGAGCTCTAATTGCTTTCACAACTAACGGCTTTCAGTTTTAGCTTTTGTCGAAAGGCCACATTCGGCAAAGGCTCCAGCTTCACGGCTGCCTGTTGTCAAGCCAAAATCTGTTGTTGTCTCCCAGAAGACTACGAAACAACAGATGACTACTTCGAAGACAACGTCAACATCATCATCGACTCGCGACGCCACGGCGTCAAAGCCACGCAAGCCGGTCGCTCCGGTGGCAGCTCTGCGCAAGACTCCGAACAAGCCAACCACTGTTGCCAAGTCGCTCCCGAAGCGGAACTTGGCTCCAGTTTCGTTGTCAAAGCGCAGAGTCAGCCGTGCGAACACAAAGAGGTCCGCAAGGAGGCCAGATGCACAGGCATCACGCAAGGCCAAGACTGTACTGAAGTCGGCCATGCGCAAGCCCAACTCCCAGGCCGTCAAGAAGCATGTTTGCTACGTTGAGGGACCCATCGCGCCACGCTTCTACGACGTAGAAGAGACCGTCAAGCAGTCCGCTACTGCAGTTGATGGGTCCACAGCGTCCTTCTCCTGGGAACCACCGACGGGCCTTCTCCACTCTCAGCCACCCTCGCCAGGCAGAGGTGCAAGTCAACTCTTTGAAGGCTCCGACAGTGGCGCTCTGACCATCAAGCGACGCTTCCTCAACCGCTACGTCAGCGTCCAGCGGTACGAGGCGCGCCGCCACCAAGAAGCGTTGGCTCGCAGCGAGCGACCAGCGCTGGGTCAGCTTGACTACGGCAACGCAGACTTCAGGATTGCCTTGCAGGCCGCTAGTGTCATCACCGCGGATGACATTGGCATGATGCAGGATCTGAGCAACATCGGCAAGGCTGGCAAGTTGTGGTGCGGTAATCGGGCGATGGGGACACCTGTGCTGGCTTTCGGCAGGTTCAAGGAGCCGTTCGACAACGCGGCTATCCCGGCGAAGGGTGTCAAGGCGTACAAGAAGCCTTTGCGATGGCCCACCACTGGGGTTGAGTCACGGTTAGAGAAGTTTGCGAACGAGCACCTGAAATGTCTTCAGGGTGCCGATTTGGTGATCTGAGAGACGGGGCTGTTGGAGGTACGAGACTTCTAAAGCGGTTCCACGTTCTTCGCTAACGACGACTATCAAGGCTTTGGTTACGGACGAGAAAGGGGCGCTATTCAAGAGAAGGAATGAGATGATGGGAAGATTGATGGAGGTTCGGTAAGATAAGTGGGTTTACGCTGACGATCACTAGCACGTAACAAAGCCGGGGCGTCTTTTTCGACAGGGCGGGGCGAGTGGTGGGACCCCGCATTTATCGCGAACGCTTTTACGACTTGGAAACCGATGCAGTGGAACGCGAGCGTCTTGGAGGAGGTGCGGCAGGCTCGCACAGGTGTGATAACGGTTTTGTTGGCTTTGATGTTGGAGGATTGCGTTTGGGCGATTTTCACGTTCCGTATACCGTTCTTGTTTGCTTACTACTCATTCGTCTTTTCGTCGTAGCGCAATGTACTATACATGTTCATCTTCCTCTACGTACGAACCTGTTGTGATGTCCGGGGCTTCCAGGATCCAGGTCTTGGGGATTTCGGAGTTGGTATGCCACATCTGGCCCGTTACCGGAATCATCATCACCGTCATCGGTCCGCCCGTTTTCCCGTTAGTATGAACTCGACTATGGATAGCTCGGCTCCCAGAGAACTATATTCCCTCCTCTAAGCGCCAGCTCCATTCGTTGTTTTGCATCCCAAGCCCACGTGTTGACGGCAATGTCATCGAATTCATGCAGAAGGCAACGCCGAGTTCCAGGCCTTCGCGCAACGTTCCTGCGTCCTGTAAGCCCACGTCGCACGTGTGTTGCTCATTGGTGAATTGTTATCAGGCACAGCAAGGCGCCAAACCTCAAGAGGCAGTTGCCGAGAATTAAGCACGGCCACCGCCAAGGTCGCCAAGGCTGAAATGCCGTGACTGCAGCTACTGAGGCGGCGGCGTCCGCTTTGTTTGCGTGGTACAAATAGTGACAGGCTGCCAGAAAGGAGGCTTACTGTCGTGCTCGCGCCTCTTCTCACCAACTCCACCAAGCCCAGTCGGAGAGAAGATGAAGTTCGCCACTGGATCTAGCGCGTCACTTTTCGCCGTCTCGGCGCTGACGGCGATCGCTCAAGCAGAAGACGCGCTGTACAGCAAACGTATGGTGAAGCGAGGCATTGATGCGGACGGAAACTACAACATCTGTAAGTCAGCATGTGTTGACTCCAACATTGCTTCTGCTCACGTGATTCAGCATTCTTCCACATCAACGACGTGCATGCCCACCTTGATGAGTTCAGCTCCTCAGGAACCGACTGCACCAGGCCCGAGCGCGGCTGCTATGGTGGTTACGCGCGTGTGAAGACCGTCATCGAGGAGCAACGCCCCAACTACGAGGACAGTCTTTTCTTGAACGCCGGTGATGAGTTCCAGGGCACTCTGTTCTACGGTTACTACGGCGGCGAGAAGATTGCGGAGACCCTGAACCAGCTCGGATTTGATGCCATGACTCTCGGCAACCACGAGTTTGATGGCGGTGATGCGGCGCTCGGAGAGTTCCTGGTCAACCTCACGTTCCCCATTGTCAGCGCGAACGTGCATTCCGAGGACGAGAACGTCAACAAGACTGTCAAGCCATACACCATCTTCGAGGAGCACGGCTTGGCGCTGATCGGTGTCACTGCAGAGGAGACCGGCAGTCTCAGCAATGCCGATGTTACCACTGTCTTCTCCAACACCGTTGAGGCCGTTCAAGGTGCTATCGATGAGATCAAGGCCACTACCAACATCTCCAGGATTGCTGCTCTCACTCACATTGGCTACGACAAGGACCAGGAGCTGGCCAAGGCTACCACTGGTCTCCAGCTCATCATGGGCGGCCACAGCCACACCCTGCTCGGTGACATGGAAGATGCTGAAGGCAAATATCCAACAATTGTCGAGAACCAAGATGGAGACGAGGTCTTCATTGTTACTGCCTACCGCTGGGGCGAGTACCTCGGCTACATCGATGTCACATACGACCCTCAGGGCAAGATTCTCGCTTATCATGGCGCCCCGATTCACCTCACCAACACTACTGAACAGGATGAGGATCTTCAAGAGCAGATTGAGGAGTGGCGCATTCCCTTCGAGGAGTTCGCTGCTGAGGTGCTTGGTACCAGCGAAGTAGAGCTCGACCAGACGACCTGCCAACAAAAAGAGTGTCTGCTTGGTGACTTCATGGCTGATGCTATGCTCGCGTACCGCAAGAACAACACCGATGACGTCGACTTTGCTCTCATCAACGCTGGTGGTATCCGTGCCACCATTGACCAGGGTGACATCACCCGCGGCGAAGTCTTGACCTCGTTTCCCTTTGGTAATGCTATTGTTCAGGTTGAAATCGATGGCAAGACCCTCTGGGAGTCTTTGGAAGGTATCGTGACCGGTGTCAACGTCGGCAATGGCAGGGAAGTCACCTCCTTCTTCCAGGTCAGCACTGGCATCAAGGTCGAATACAACCCCGAGAACGCCAACAACTCCAAGCTTGTCTCTGTCACCATTGGTGACGAGCCTCTAAACAACGACACTACCTACCAGATGGTCACTCTTGACTTCATCGCTGGTGGCGGTGACAACTTCTTCGAGCCATCAACCGATTTCATCACCCTGGACACTCAGGATGAGGTACTCACTTCGTACATCTTGAACCAGACACCAGTGAACATCGAGCTCGATGGACGTATCGAGGAGGTCGACGGCCAGAGGGAGGACACTCCCGGAGCTGGTAACGGTACCAGCAACGGCACTTCACCCACGACTGGTGCACCGCCTCAGCAGACTGAGAACGCAGCTGCACGTCTCGGTCAAGGCGCCGTTGGCGTCAGCGTCTTCGGTGTTCTTGCCGGTCTGTTTATGCTATGAGCCTTGAAGCGATCCAAATGCACGGGGCGCACGATGCGACGTGAATTATATAATAAAACCATTAATGAAATATTTACCCTCATGAAATGCGTCACGTTTTCACTCTTGTCAAATCGTTCTCAACTTTCGTCAACTATTCGCTACCAGTAATGCAAGACAGCGAGCCACATGCGTCCGTACAGTACAAACCACCGATACGAGCGCATCAGAAAGCATAGTCTCGCTCCGGTAAGATCAAAATGGAAGTGAATTACAGAGCCAGTAGGTCATGTGCAAAGCACCTTTTGGCTACAAAAGCTTTTGGTTTCTTTACTTACTCACATTCGTCAGCAGAAACGCCTATTCAACTCAACTCCGTACGTTGCACTATACTCATCAACGTATGCCTAAACGCGACAAGAAAAGCGAACCCAGAGTTGTCGTGGGGCGTCTGAGAGGAGTGAATGACATAAGGATCGGCACGCCGGCACACCCGCCTTCCTTCTTGCCACCCAATACCACTCCAGTCGCGAAACGCGGACCCAGCATCACTGACTACACGTTCGAAGAATATCAAACTGCCAATCTCAACGATGACGAGAAACACGCCGTCATCGGCAAGCTCCGCGGTGAGCTGCCCATCATTGATCGCGATGAGGTCGACGAGGTTCTTTTGCGTTCGATGGCACAGCAGCTTGAATTAGCGGTATTTCCGACTTGCAAGATGATGCAGGTTGAGCCTGTGGCTGTGAAGCGCATGCTAGATGACCAGTTTCGCAAGGCGTACGGTGCGGAGGTTGAGGCGGAGGTGTTGGGTAAGTTGGGACTGTGCCGTGTTGAAGATGTTGAGGTGGCGGTGGCTGCGGAGAGGATACGTATCAGTGCTAAGAAGAAGGGTAAGAGGCAGAAGTTGGGGAAGAGTAAGGAGATGTTGGTAGAAGAAGAGGAAGACGCCATTGCGAATGCACCATCCCCAACAGCGAAGAAAACGAAGAAGGCGCCGAATGGAATTGCGAAGGATATTGATGCACATATCACACGGAGGAAGAGAGCGAAGCGTGGGGTCAAGGTGGTGACGCTGCGCTCCCGAGCTGTGTCGCAGGAATGGGAGAAGCTGAGTCGTAGATCGCGAGATGATGTACCTGAGTAGCGGCGCATAGTACGAGCGCACGATGAAACATCTTTTGGAAAGTGCGAGGTTCTTCGTTTACTGTAATTCTTATTAGTCCCCTGCTATCGCCTTTCTTATGTACTGTGTGTGTTGCAGATGGACTGGTATGATGCAATATCGTAGGGCCCAAATGTCGAGTTGTAAAACGAATCGACAGGTACCTGGCTACAGGAGAACCGTTGCATCGTCCATCTCTTGCGGCATTAAATAGCCGGCAATCTTCGCGAATGCGACATGAAAGGATGAGCTTGTTGAATGAGAGGGCTAGCTCGGTAGGCAGTCGGCAATGTGGATTACGTTAGATGACGTCATCATGTGCTTCACAATCCCTGATCCTACGCCTCTACACTCCACCGTCGCACGCCAATCAGCCAACGTATCCTGCAATACTTTGCCCGTGAATAGACTGCGCATATGCATTCGATGGTACCTCGAAGACCGTGCCGTCACAAATTACGCATTACTGCCCTCTATGTGGCCGATGACGAAGACCAACAACCCGACACTGCTGGAAATCCATCAATCTTCAGTACGAGAAGAGCGCTGGCCACACAGTAAGGAGATCGCACTCGGCATATTCCCGAAGCGCGTAATCTTCAAACGATACGTCTTCTATCCAGCCAAGAGCACCTAAGCATCATTGTCTTCGTATTACTACTGTCCTCTTGTTCGAGGCCTTCAATTATTTTCCGTGTTATCCTCCAGTCCATGTGCCTCAACTTCGATCCAAGCAGACCGCTGGACGTTGGTCATGCCATCATGCCCTACAGCAAACCGCTCGTCAAGCGCGATGCAGAGGATGGATAGGTAGCATGTCATCTACAGGTATTTGCGGTAGAAAACCGCAACACGGATTGGGCCTGACAAGCTAACACAGTATGGACGGATGACTAGATGACCGTTGGCAGCAAACATGACACTGGACTCTCTCACAGCATAAAAAGCTCGAATATCACTGCCATTCTTGACTGACCACACCAGAGCACACTCTCATCTTTGTACCTTACAAAAATGGCTAGTTCATCCGATCCAACTCCCCTCGCCCTGAGAAAACGCCCGAGAAAGACTAATCTAGCTTCAAGTCAACTAGATGGAGTTTCCGACGAACTCGACCAGGAGACTAACATCAAAAGTTGGCTATCGACAGTTGAACCTTCCGTGGAACCGCCCAGCAACACCGCCTTATGTCGCGTAAGCTACTCCTTCAAAAGTCTGCCCAGCATCCACATCATCCCGATCAAAGTGACCAGTCTCGCCGATGCCAACGTCAATACAGACAGCGATCATCGCCCTATCTTTAGCAAAAGGCTGAGGAAACATGCCATCGAAAGCTTCATCAAGAAAGAGCTTGTTGAGCTTGAGAACAATTATTCGCTTAGACTAGCCGAAACTGGATTCAAGAATGCGGCGGAAGAAGGACTGATCGATCACATCCTCGTTTTGGACATCGACATGGAACAGGAAATCGAGCGGAAGCTTCGAGAGATAAGCGACCGGAAGGAAATTCTCGTCCCCACGGTCGAAAAGCGAGTCAGAAATGAAAGGATTGCTGATGCTGTGTATTGCGATGTACAGGCTCGCGAGGTGTTTTCCGTCAAGACCGAGGCCACGACCAAAGCCATGACCGACAAGTACTGGAAGATGCTCAAGCTGCTCATCCGAGATGTCACCATTCGCTCAATTCCTCCGAAAGGATTCTTGAGTAACTGTAAGCAGATACTGTTTGATAACTGCGCCGAGGACCCCAATTCGCCGCTCAGGCCAGATTTTGCTACAGATGCATCCGTTTCTTCAGATTGGTCGTCATTCTCGTCTTTGAAGTCGCAAGATGCACTCGTCATCAAAGAGGCCAATTTCATGAAGGTTCTATTTCGATCCAACGTTAAGATCGATCCCGTACAGCCGGCTCTACATCTTGAATTCGATCTCGTACCAGGCTTAGGGGATGGCATCCGCCTTTCCGACCTGGTGCTAAGTGTTTTGGGACCTAGCGTTCTTACTGGTCCTGAACACATCAACCTTTCGACTATCCGATCCATGCTGGTTGGTCTTCACGTTACCCGTAACCACGGCCTGCCACTCATTACAACATCGGGTACTGGAAGCACCGCAACAGGTACTGCAACTGGTCAAGACCTTTCGAGCGGAAATTTGTCGCGCCCATCACCTCGAAATAGCACTATTGTCCCATCTCAAAGTGCGAACGTCTCACAGTCGTCTATGGATACGAACGAAAGCGGTAACAAGCACCCTTTCGTCATTCACAACGTTAAGCTAGCAGGCGCCGTTCCGGATTTCCAGATCGAGAACGAGAGATTTAGCGTCCACAAGTACTTTGCTACCAGTAAGTCACTTCGATGCGTCCAATCTTTCACGAAGCGCGATGAACTAATTCCACACCAGGGATCCTCAAGAGAAGCTTGGAGTACCCCTCGCTTCCACTTGCCGAGATTGCTAGAAACACCTGGGTACCCCTCGAAACTCTACTCACAAGCGGCGATCAAATGATCACTCACCGAGCATTGACGAAAGCTCTTATGAAGCGCGCGCGTAAGGCTTACGAATCGGATGACGACCACGAGCGGCGTGCAAAGGAAGTGGCCAACAGTATCGTTGAGCCTCTCGCCGGCTTGCTCAAGTACGACGACATGGAAGTGAGTACAGAAGATAGTTCGAGGAAATTGAGAAGTTCAGCTGACTCTTCATCTAGCAAATTCCAATCGGAGAGTTCGAAGCGCTCACCCCAAAAGGATCGAGGAAAAGCACGAAGACAAAGCCGATTCCTCCAAGGCGTCTCACATCCTCCGTCTCCAGTCAAACCATCAGCCTGAGACTTGGCATTATTTACGTCGAAGCCAAGGGAGTCCGACGGAGTCCCTCAATTGTTGTGAATAACATAGTCAATAATCTTAAAGCGCAGCACAACGATTTAGAACTCATCAAGATCGATCCGGAGTTTAACCTTCCCACCGCCTCCGTTGCGGACACGAAGCGATTACTACTCGTACCAGACTTTGGGGGCTCAGCTGAGCTGCGAGCTCTATACCAGGCAAGGCCAAATACCATCCTCGCGATTATCGATAGTACAGGACGGTCTGTATCAGAGCTTCGCAACATCCGCGCAGACTTACAGAAGTTCGGCAACCGAAAGATCGGCGCTGTTACGTTCTGCATGACAGAGAAGAATCTTGACCAGTCGATGCGGGCCAATGAGGGCAAAGTCAACTATTTTCCACGAAAGGTCCTTCAGACTCTTTCGGTCATGCACGGTCAGCCGCTTTTCACGGCCGACGTTCTGAGTGACACCAGCGGCGTCTCAAACCCATTGATCATCGGAGCACATATATCGCACCCCGGTCCCGAATGTGCCGAGCACTGTCCTTCCGTTGCAGCTGTGGTAGCTTCCATCGACGAGCGCTTGACAAACTTTCCTGGCTCGGTGCGTTTGCAGCCGACCTATAGCTCAGCTGCATGGCGTGGTAAACATCTGAAGCGCACGATGGAAGACCAAATCCTTGGCCTCGACGTTATGGTAACCGAGAGGCTTCAGGCTTGGAAGAAGTACCATCCTGCGGCCGTTCCGTCCGTCATATTCTACCGTGACAGTATCGGTCACCTGGAGGAGACAACTATCGACAAAGAGAAGGACACCATCTCCAGAGCCCTGACTGCCGTGTTTAGTACAAGAGTGAGCTTCACCTACGTAGTGGCCAACAAATGTCGAAACTCTCCTTACGATCCCCGAGTAGAACCCAGCATGGCCGACGGCGAGAAGGAATTCTTTACTACCAACGAGCTCAAAGCTTCCAATAAAGGCCGCCAGTTCCGTTACTTTGTTCAGCCAGCAACAGAAACTTTGCCTTCACTCGATCTAAGCATGGCAGACTTAGCACGGCTGGTAAGTTCTCGGATATGACTCTACTATCTTCGCTAACAAGTTACAGACGTACAACTTGAACACTACTTTTCAGCTCGACAAGCGCGTCGCAATCGCACTTCCGTTGCACTACGCCCGAAAGCTCGCACTCCACACCTTCAACTACTTCCGGTTCGCCGTTACTAATCAATTTGACCTCGTGCCTAGCATGTTGCGTCGACTGCACAGAGGCGACAAAGAGGCCGAGGCAAACGGCCAAGAGATGGTGAAAGTGATGCGCGAGTATCTCTTCAGCGACATCCCAAGTGGCAACAACGAAGTGAGTCAACCGTTCGGACGCGACAATCCCTGGCTGGAACAGCTCGATGAGAAGATGTTCTACATCTAACCCGTTGATCTATCAAGTGGCGTCCAGATCACAGCGCTGTTGGTACGATTCTTTCCTGTCTTCTACCGTTCCTTCGGGAGCTGGTTGGACTTGATCAGTCGCTCTTTCACACATCTCTTTCTTTCCTATGTTCGCGCATCCACCACCTCATTCGCTCCCCATCCCCCTCCTGCCCACACTTTCCTTCCTTTCCTTTGTTCGCCTCGTCCTTTGCGATCTCTTACCGCCCCACCCCCTTTCCCTGCCCACACCATGCCCGTTTTCCTTCGTCCGTCTCGACCCCTGTCTTGCGTTCTGATTTCCGCGCTGCTTCAACTGTTGGCCTCACACGGTTCCTCTAGTTAGTCACTCATTTAGAAAGAATACCAGTCACTCCTTTGAATAAAAATAACCTGCTTTGATTTGCATGCTGATAGCCCCATCAAAGTCAGTCTTAATCTTTGTGAGAGGTTTCGTGCTGTACATCATATTGTCATCTTGTAATATTGTCATGAACCAATTCAGTAGTAAGACCTTGTCCAACGTAAATAATGTGGGCGGCGATGTGTTCACAGTAATTCGGGTCTTGGCGACGACGTGAGAGGATGTGGGCACGTAACGTTCAATTGACCTCATGACTTCGCATAACAGCGACAGAAAGTAGCTCATCCAAGTACAATCTCCTTCCACTCCATCGGCCTGCGACACGACTTGAACACGCCTTCTCGCTGGAGATAGCCAGATCCAATCCTCTCGGCGATGTCCCCGTTCCACTCAATCATAATGACTCTGTACTTCTTGGAAGGAATGTAAGAGCTGCTCCTCCACCGTTCGTAGCTCAAATCTCCCTCTTCGTAGATAACGATGAACTCGTGACATGACCGAGGTGCCTCCATGTCTTCTAAATTGGGTTTACGGTCGAAATCGCAACTTCCGACTGGATTGCTCTCCGAGTCCATCATTTCGCCTCCCGTGCCCAGTGTATTGTGGCGAACCTCGTAATAAGTCGAAACTGTCCAGAAATGTAGTAATGTCAACTTTGTGCGAGTCACGAGCGGTGTCTGATCGAAGGAATGACGATATGACTTGGAGGGAAGGGTGTTGCATGGCAGTCCTGGAAATCTAGCCTCGTGTGCCTCAGTAGCGGAACTGACACCATCAGTAGGCCTTCCGCCGCGAAGCCATCGAGGTTCATGTCCAGTGTTTTGGTTGTCCCAGACGTAATAGACTATCCAGGTTGCATGCTTTAGGTATAGTTGCATAAGCTCCATCTCCGAGGCCTTGTGCAACCATTCTCGATGCTCATCGTCCGGATATGACTTTGCGTCCCCATATATATGTACATAATCAAGTTCTTCGCTGACGTAAGTCATACCACCACTCCAACCAGCCCAGGTCCAGCTGGGAAATTCTTGACGTCGCTTTAGCTTAGAGCCCTGCCAAAAAAGGGCGTGGTCGAAGTAATCAACGGGCAGGCCCCGAAAGCATTCTCCAACTCCAATTCTCTTTAACACACCTGACAGAGCATCCAATATGTCTTCGTTCTTCGTAATGTTGAGTCGAGAATATTTTGACAATGCCCATCGGTAATTAGTATGGGGAAGGTGGCCACGTAAACGTCGTTTGAGAGAAAAGGTGAATTCGGTCTTTTCCTTAGATACGCGCAGCCTATCCGATGCGTATCGTGGCTCATATTCTTCTGGACCATCTTCGGTGTAACTAGCCTCGTCGCAGAGAAAGTAGACCTGATCATTGGGCGCGAAGATCAGTAGACGAGGTGCCAGCTGGAACTCTTGGAATCTATCTGCGTGAGCTGGTCTCCGGTGTCTATCGCTGCAGGCTCACATACGTCCACGCTCGCTTACAATACGTTGTCTTTCTAAAGAAGTACTCAACGTCGAAATACGCTAGAAGCGTCACCTCCGGGGAGATCTCGCGGGTAATCTGTTTACAGTGGCGTTCGGTGCTCACGCCTCTGAGCGCGTCGTCGGCGCTATTGCAGGTACCCGCAACGACGGTAAGTATGGACCCGGAATAGATGTTGTCCATGTTGGAGATCGCTGCTTGCCTTATAGCAGTATCATCGGATACGATACAAAGAGCATCTACCCAGAGGTACCTTTCGCCCAACTTCTCGACCACTGTCATGGCATCGCGGATCGTGGCAGGAATGCGTGCATCAGATAGACTATCTTCTCGTGAAAGCTCAAGGAGATTGTCTCTTCTGAGTTGCACTTGAGTAGCATTTCCCCACACATAACTAAGAGCTATGTAGCGGCAGGTCTCGGGCGCGGGAACAAGACATTTGTGTAAGACGTCAATGACGAGAAGCCCCTCGTTCGAGACATCGTACTCCAATGCTGATCGCTGTTGACAATGGGGGTGTTGGGTTTCGCAGCGTGCGATCCAATGTCGAATTAGATCGTAGTCCAGGAACGAAGGGGTTTGGGGAAGCAGGCGGCTGAAGTACGGGTATTTCGTAGTGTTCTCTGCAGCCGGTAGGATCCCACCAACCAAGTCCAGGTCATCAAAATCGAGCGCAATCCGGGGCTGTATTCTTAACCCAGTATGTGTCTCCACCTCCGTGTAGGATCCGCTAATACAGATTGTGAGATTATCATCAGTAGCGTTGCGAGACGTTCCGCGGAGAACAGTCGCTTCCAATAATTCCGAAGTGAGGTGACATATGTCGCATTCCAGCGGCTTCAGAGAAACGCCGCACTTGTGTCGGTGACATGGCTTCTCACCATCTGCGAGTGCAAAAAAGCTTTCGGAGGTGATCTCGAGTTGAGCGCATCTTTTACAGAACTTCATGATGACATATAGAGTAGGAAAACGGAGAAGAAAGGGCGGTGATGGCTCTGGACAGCAATGAGGGGCAGATTCGACCCCACCAAATTGCGGGCATGAGGCACAGCAAGACACCTACATCAGCTCTAACTCTATCCATACATGATGGACAGGGCATGCGTAGCCGCCCAAGGCGGCTCTGAAAGCTAAGCCCACGAAACGACAATAACGTCTGAAAGCTGTTCAGCTGTTGAAGGGGAAGGCATCGCGAACGCTGACGAAGGCATCCTGAGTCTACGACGACATGAAGAGAACCGGTAGTGAGATATTGCCAGCCAACAAGAAAAAACTGGAGGTAAGAGTCGATGGACGGGGCATTGTTGGGTGGTGTGAAGATTTGTCGCGCATGAGGAAAGCGCGAAGGCCACAGTGAGGCTGCGGCGGATGCTGCTAAGCCTCGCGCTATGACATCACCGACCCCTTTCACTCGTGCCACGAAACCATCAAGAAAGCACGCGCAAGGAATCTGGTATGCATGCGCGAGTTGGATATAACATGATAGATAAATGGGAGACGTGAAGAGCATGTATATTTGCAGTCAAACACTGCGGATCAAATTGCTGCGCTACAGTATTTAACTCCACGTGACTTCTAATGACCATGCCCACCATCGACGAATCAACAACAAAAGTCTAGCCAAAGCGTTATCAATCTGAAAGCAACCGAACTCCAAATAGTACGTTTTCATCTTCATCGAACCCCGACAATACGGTCCCATTTCGCTCAGCTCAATGTCCCCTGGCGACTCCTCTCTACGCCTGCCGGCGCCGTGCCAATTTGGCTCACGAGCTCCGCTTCATCGGCCCGATTCAATTTAGAATCAAGCGCATCATCCAGACCAGTATTCCTCTTGCGCATCGGACTCGTCGCATCTGCCGCACTATCATCAACGTCGAGTTCCTTTTCCTTGCGTCTGATCGTACCCATGCTTGCTACACTTGCATCGTCGCCATCGGACTTCTTCTTGGCCTCACCCTCACTGTTTTGCACTTCGATGGTGACATCGGTGTTGTCTCTGCTGAAGACGCGGAGACCGACGACGCACACAGCGTTCCAGGGGTCGCGCTCGAATTCATCTTCCTCTTCGACGTAGGGGTAGCGCGTGTTGTTGTAGCAGATATAGCGCTGGCGTTCAGAGAACATGCGCGGAATGTTGTCTTCATCGTCGGAGAGATCTGAGTCGAGCGAGCAGGGGCCATCGAGATCAGAATCCCAGGAGTCGTCGGACATATCGTCGGGCGAGTACATTCCGTGCTGAGCGCGGTGGGAGTACTCGCTAGCACTTCGTCCGCGAGTGACCTGAATACCGGGTCGGATACCCGGGATGGGGGTGAGTGTAGCCCGGCGAACGCCAGTTGATGGTCGGTGCTCAGGACGCGGACTGTATGTCCTTTGACCGGGCGTTCCAGGGCGAAACTCATCGGTCAGCGGCGTAGGCATAGGCGTGGGCAGTGGCGTGGGAATAGGCGAATCCGTCATCTGGCCTTCGTTGTATCCGTCGCGACCTTGGTATGCGCCAGGAAAGTCTGTGTTGTAGCCGCCGCGACCCTGAAGCTCCCCAGGCATGTTTTGATTGTAACCTCCGCGACCCTGGAGTTCTCCTGGCATGTTCTGGTTGTACCCCCCTCTGCCTTGCAACTCACCAGGCATATTCTGGTTGTACCCTCCTCTACCCTGGAGCTCTCCAGGCATATTTTGATTGTAGCCTCCGCGCCCTTGAAAGCCTTGACTATGGGTCGCAGGGGAAGGTTGGGGACTGTGGTGGTATCCACCACGTCCTTGAAGGATTGCAGCCTCAGGGATCGCAGAGCCATTGCTGTCGCGGTTGTAGCCGCCACGACCCTGCAATGCTCCGGGAAGCGATGCATTGTAGCCATCACGACCTTTGTTGTATCCGCTCCGGCCGCCAAAACCGCCACCTGGACTAGCCGAGCGCTCACGGAGTGGATCAAGGCTCGATGCACGATGGTGCCTGGAGACTGCTTGGTGAACAGGCTTAGCGTCTTCGTCGCCGGAAGTGCGGTTGTCTTCCTCGACATTTATTCCAAGACCAGACAGGCTTTCGAGCTTCCTCTCGACTTCTGCCATGTCGCCAGATCGATTGAGTTTGCGCGTCTCTTTCGCAGCTTTCTTCAGGTCACGCAGCTCAGCCTTTTGGCGTAATCTCTTACGGCGTTGATGAGCTTGCTTCATCTCGGCCTTCTTGTGCTCAACTCTCTCCTCTTTGTGACGTTTGGCTTTGTCTTCTTCTTGCTCCCTGAAGTGTCCTTTGGCATGCGCGAGATCGTAAGACAGCCCGATCGAGAGCAGTTTCTCGCGCCGTTTGGTACAGGTCATCCGAATGACTTCATCAGGTGTCGGATTGTCAGGAATTCTGGTCGCTTTGATCTTGAGCAGGACGGTGTAATTACCAGGCTCAAGATCCAGCTCGGTGGAGACAGAGCGCGTCATGTAGTACGTGCCGTTGCTGCGAACGATGTACTCTTCTTCGTCGTCTTTGTGGAGCCGGAACTGTAGGTTAAACTCATACTGACCTTCCAGACCTTGGTAGTAGCGATCATCAAGCTGGCTAAGCACGATGACTACGGGGCCGCCCTTCGCGAGATGTATCTTGAATTTGGTGTCGAGGTAGTCGACGCTCCACGGAACGTTGACACTTGTCCACTGCTGAGAAACCGTCCATTCCGGACCGAACAGTCGTGTACGGTCGAAATGCTGGTAGGTACGCAGAAGGTCCTTGTACGAGATCCAGAAGACACCGTCGTCCCCGAATTTGTGGTCAAGCTTCTTCATCCATTCTGGAGTCCATTCTTCTGAACCGTCGCTCCAACGACCAGTCCACTCGGTGCGGCCCCAGGGGTTCCGAAGCTTCAGCAGGCGCTGGCCATCGATCTCGCGTGCTTCCATGACGGAGTATGCATGTTTCTCCTGGATACCTTTGCGAGCGCCGTAGATACCGCCCATCTGGCCACACCCGAAGAGAAACGTCTTATTGACGTTCATGAGCTCTTCGTGCCAGAACTTGTCCTTATCCAAGATGTCGGTTGCAAAGATTTCAGACGTGACACCTCCAGTCAGGTCCTCGATACCTTCGCCTACAAAGCCGCCATTAATGGCACTGTAGTCGCCGTGTGCTTTGGCAAAAGCCTTTTCCAGCAGTGGCAGCCATGTTTCATTGGGATCGCTGCATTGCGCGAAGTACAGGGCCCTGGAACCGGTTTGCATGACAGTCCGGTATTCATCTTCGGGGCTTTTCCGGTTCTGAAGTTCCAACCAGTGGGAGCGCTCTAGTTTTGCTTCGTCAAAGTCCTCCTTGATGAGATATAGCTTGTCGTCGATGACCTCGGATATCCATTCGCCATCTAAGATAAGTCAGCCTGTGAGCTACCCGACTATATAGTCATGTCTTTACCTCTGTGGAAGACAAATCCGTACACGCCGACTTGCTCATCGCGCGCAACGCACACCCGCTGTATCAATTCTTCCTTGTTCGAGATCGTCGCCAGTGCCGACATGAACCAGCAGTCACCGTCGTTGCCCTGTCGTACATCGTTCGCGGTGGCGCCTTCGATGAAAAATCGTGGTTCATCGAAGATGTCCTGTGACGAGTTAGGCATGCGACGATAGTGGGGTGGTAATACATACCTCGACTCTCTTGACCGACAAAGGATGGAAGTCGGCGTTCTCTTCATTGAGCCCAGTCAAGCAGTCGGCGGGAGTGTCTGGAATAAGCTGCGACCGTTTGAAGTCGGCCTCTATATCGAAATGTGGATCTCGATACTTTTGGTTCAGTCGTCGGCATTCTTTGACGATCTTTGCGACCTTTCTGGTGCAGGCTTCCTTGGCCTCCTCGTAGGATGCAAGCGCATTGACCCCAGGTATGGAACCTCTCGGCGCATGTGCGGCGGCACGTTTCGCATACAGATTGTCGGGTAAGATTGTAAAGATCTTACCGGGGTGTTTGGTCGTAAATTTGTTCCAGAACTCGTCGATGTTCCTCTGAGGAGCTTGTTTTCTGACCGGCAAGCGTGGCCGTGGCGCAGGCGCAGGCGTATCTTGAACCATGCTGGGCGCCCTAGAGTGTGGAGTGGTGATGTTGATGAAGTCGTTGTGAGTACCATTCGATGCCATTGTCAATTCTGTGCCGCGGCCCAAATGCTCAGGGGCTGGCTATGCTTCTTGGGGCGTACGGCGTCCATTGGGGGCTCAGTCGTTAATAAATGATTTGGGATGACGATGAAATTCTCAGCCCCCAACGAAGCTTCATACAGCTGCCATGTATGGTGTGGTATTTCGAGAGCCTGTAAGAAAAGAAGTGGGTCAGTCAGACACGAGGCGTTGCTCGGCGCTGCCGCAGGGCCCCCGCTCGCCATGCCGCTGCGAATCAGCTTGCCGCGGAGCTTCCGAACCCATGCTCGCGGCCGTCATCAAGCGGAGAGGCAGATACAACGGCGATCGGCTGCAGCTGCACTGGCCTGCGTCTTCAGCTGCAGACAAGGACGGACGACGAGTAAGATTGTTGGGTTGGGACGCGACGCAGTAGGGAGGCTCTCGTTCTCTGGAAACGGCTCAGACGGTCAATGCGCGCAACTAGATTAGCCTGGGGGCGGCCGGCTAGCCTATTCTAGCGGACTACGGGTGGAAGCCTGACCGACTTCTTGTCTTGTCATATTACCAGTAAACGGTCATCTGGTGATGGTTTGGAGGTGAGCAACTTGTTCGCCGAATCTGCCTGCATATGGTGGTGGTGCTATGACGCCTCTCACATCTTGGTACCATCACCGTGCGGCGTTCGCGATGGTCTGATCAAGCGTTTCTTTGCAGACTGACAGGAGTAGCACCCAGACGTGTGAAACGTTCCGTCTGCGTGTCCAGCTCATGAGATGATAATTTTGGAGCTGTATACCTACACCTATGGGTCATTCTGCATCCCGGTCCAGTTTACAGGAAGGGCAATGGACACGGGCGCAACACCAGCGAGGTTCGAGAACAGATTGATGCCGTACTAGGATCCACGCGAGGATGGGTTCGGGCTAGAATGATTTCAGTGGGTGTTTGTGTATCTCTGCGCGCCCGAGGTGTGTGCCGACTCTCCATTGATAGGCAACTTTCCCCCACGAGCATGGCACATGCATCAGGTAGCTCGGTTCCGAGCCGCCGGGCATGTCTCATTGCGTCCATGGTGCTGGAAACGACGCTGACTAACGCGCGCAGTGCCTGCATAGGTGCTGTAACGTTTAGCAAGGCTCACAATGAGTCGACAGGAGTAGCGGTAATGGCTGCGCGCTCGTTGAGCCGATGTCTCGATAGGGAAAAACGGCAGACGTAGCTCCCGGATGAAACAGTATCACCAACAATTGTCAGGTTTCCATGTCAGCCCTAGCACACAGCCCTACGAGCGATGCTGCGAGCGTCCTGCGATTTTGCAGGGATGCGATCTCACCGTAATTTCGACGCGCACAGCCAATCGCGACGCAAAGCCACACCTGGTGTATGAACAACGATAAATTCCCTTGCGCCGGACACAAGGGCGACCGTCCAATCGCGCGTACGTTACTTGAGAGGACCAACCTCTTTCAATAAATCAGTTGTGACGTCCGGGGCGCACAACTACGTAGGCTGACAGTTCTTCCAGTAAACCATAAGGAGATACAAACTGCTGGCCAACTCGGGCCTTGACGCGACACTTGACGCTGTGACAATGCGAGGTCAGCTCGGGGTGTGCAACACAGCTGGCGGATTGAGCGGTAAACACATCCCCTGAGTGTTGAGAACGTGTCGACCCCCGAATGTTTAGCGAAGAACCCGATACCGATTTGGAATGTGAAGTAGCGTCAGGCTGAGTGCAAGGCTGAAGTGGTAAGATGTGGTGTGATGCTTGGAACGTGTGCCGAACTCAGGATCCCAGCGCTAGCCGAAAGCACGGACGAAGGTTTTAGCTCGATGCCGTCATCATTCCTTTGGGGCGCGTCCTCCCACCACAACCTCTTTACTCTATCAACATCACAAAAAGACGACATGAACAGCATCGCTTAGTATCATGTCGGATGGCCCAGACCCAAACCTACGCCTCGCAGGACTCGACTTCCACTTCCGCTGCTTCTTGTTCGCCAACCTTCAAGTGGAGCCGCTCTCCCTTCAGCTTCCAGCGAGATTTGTCCAATTCCTGTTCAGCCATTCGCGAGCATTCACGGCAGTTTCGACAATGTTGGTTATTAGGCCACTCGAATGACTATAATTTTTGTGATTTCGGGTTTCGACGCATCATGCGACGTCCACCCAACCGCCCAGATCCGAAAAACAAGGCCTAATCGCTGCTTGACTGGATCACAGATGCCCACCGCGCTTCTCGGTCGCCCAACTATCAATATGCCGCCGTATGTAGTCATCATCATTGAACACGCTGATGCTATCCAGATTTACGTCGCCTACCATGGACTTGTTTCTCTTGCGGCTGCGTTGAGGTGGTCTCGAGCCTACCCTATCACATAGTTGGCTTCCCGCTGAATCTGAGCTTCCAGTCGATAATGCAGATGCTATGGAACTAGTCTCTGATCCGAACCTACCGTCGGAGTTCAGCTTCAACACTGGCCATGGCTGGTATCTTCGGAAGCTATCTAGCCATCGAGAGATCTTTCTGCGGTCGACATTTGCTATACATTTTTCGGCGTCTTCCGCAACCAATCTCTCTAGGTACTTCTCATCGCCACGCAAGTCGTACGCATTTTCCGCATATGGATCGATTCCAGCTGCTCTCGCCGCCGCGTTTCCGTTATCTAATGCGTCCTCTGCATCTCGTATCATCGTCACATATTTTCGCGTAAGCTGCACAAATTTCGGGCCATACTCATCCTTCAGTTCCTCTGGATCGCGATCGGGGTTATCTTGGCAGTAGAAATCCAACAAGGGTCCGTGCGTGCCTCGGGCATAGTCATGCTGCTGCCTCGCAGACTGGAGTTTCGCCTCTAGACCTGCAAGGTGTTGCACCCAATCTTCTTTGATATCAATTAGTTCTTTATTGTACGATCGTTGAGCCTGCTCTGGAGTTTCGTTGTCGCCTACGCGCGTCGTGGCTTCCTCAATAGAGCTATCAGTGTCGGTATCCTCCCCGTCATAGACATCACCGTCCCCATAGTGTCGAGACCGAATCCTTTGATGGTACTCGTAAGCTTTCAATGGCCAGCCTTTGTCCTTATCCTGCGGTAACGACCCAGCATGCTCCAGAAACATGGCTTGGTAATAGTCCATATCTTTCAGGACAGCGAACCATCTCTGCTCCGCATCCTGCAGCCTGCCCTTCAGCTGTAGTTCACGCGTCTTAAAACTTCGATACGCTAGTTGCGCGCGTCTAACTCTTCCTTTTGCCTCTTTTAGACTACGTCGTTCTGCAAGCATTCGAGATGCGGACCTGAAACGCGAGTTCCATTTCGCCGCCTTGAGGTCGTTAATGGCAGCGGTATACTCGTTCCAAGCTGGTTGCGCGTCATTATTGATCTTATCCAGGTCTGCGTCGATTTCTCTCTTCGTCTTTCGGTACCGGCGGCCCTCAATCACAGAATTACGCATGGCTTCGAACACTCTTCGCGAGAGAACCAGGGACAAGACGTTTTTCTGGCCGTCATAAGTTCGCGATAGGATAGCGTCGCCGTCCGTGAAGAGATCTTTGTCAGAACCCGTTTGGCAGACATGCCATTCGTCAAATCCTGGACCACGATCTGCGCAATCCTCGCAAGAGGATGCGCCACAATGAATGCCGTGCTCATCACCAGGAGAACAACGTAAACAACCAGCAAGCTGGCACTGACAGGTACTAGGACTACCTTTGGTCGTGGTGGTGGGGGTTTCTTTACCTTCTTTGGAAGGAGGCGCATTATCAAGTGTAGTGGCGGCGTGTATTGCTTCCTTGGCTGATGTTTCGAAAAGCTTCGTTTGTTTTGCATGTGAGCTAAGCCCAGACTCCTCGGGGCTGTGAGAATTAGCTGGTTGGCGGCTTGAGATGATGGCATCGAGCCTCCGCTCAGCGTCCCGGCGAACTGCGGTTGAGCTTAGTCTGACCTGAGATTGGTGTTCATCTTCTCGCATTCCCTTGTCAACATAATCTCGAGGTTGTCGTCTAGCTCTAGACGTCTTCAGGAAGTGAGAGATGCTTTTCCTTCTCGTGGATCGATACATGATGCGCATGGAATCTATGTGAAATGTAGACTTGTTGATTCTTTTCACATGCGTGTTGTGGAAGACAAAGGAAGGCAAGAGGAGGGCAAGCTTTACAAGCGATTCAGTCCAAGCTTCCATAGCGTTTCAAAGACAAAGCTGATTGTTCTATATCTATAAAGGTAATGCTCATCCTTGTCCACCACATTGTAAAGCACTAACGAATGGGTTACTGGTAGTCTGTCATCTTCGCTATGCTATCACGACAAAATGATATACTGTCTGGTGGATCTCGCTCGGCACTCGGTAGAGGAGACGTTTGAGATAGACAATCTTTCACTTCGGTTCGAGGGAGGTAGTACCTAGAGGGATGTGACCTTTCACTACATCAGGGTGAAACTCACACCCGCGCGCGCAAGTGCCTTGCTTTCTGAAATGGCTGATGGGTGAGCAGCCACGGCTGCCATTCGCCGCCTGCGCTCTGACATCATTAATAAGCCGATGGGAACATATGTACTAGCAAAACGTATCAATATTCTATTTTCCGTTACCCAAGCTTCTCGACCGGCGCCCCGGAAACGCACACACACACACACACACACACAAAGCCTTTGACATCTCAACTGGTACACAAGACAACGCGGAGCTGAGGAAGTAAAGGGGCCTGACGCTCTTATTCAAGCGACAAAATCATGACGAAGAAACGTCATGGGAAAGGTAGGGAAGGGCTTTTCTGTTTTACATGGCGTCAGATCTGACAACATAATAGAGTCAGGCCACAAATCATCGGGGAATGGCGGAGAACGCCCCCAGCGACAAAACCGATGGGCGATGAGCGATCACTGGTCCCCGGAGCCTTATAGAACTCGATCGAGGTCAGCTACCCCACGTAACCTTCGAAACGGACCGAACAACGACCAAGACCGTTCGCGCACAACGTATGAGGAATGGGGTCAACCGACCGCCTCCCAGCGCCAAGAAGAGGCAGACATTTCTTACTATGATCCAGACCCTGAAGAGGCCCTGCCGTCCACCGAGCATGATGATGTACGTCTTCGCAGTTCGGAACGTCACGAACGATCGTCGGCGTCGCGCATGTCAAATTCTCAACTTGATACTACAACTGCGAGTCGGCACAACAGGAATTCTCGGGTCGATCTTGCAACTACTGCTAGCACACCAGCAAATTCAGCTGCTGTTGACTTGGACGATGGCATTTGGGATTCCGACGAAGACAACTCTGCCGAGCAGATTCGAGACCGTGCTGGAGAGAGCCAGACATCAACTCTCGAAGACGATCCTTCTCATCCTCTATACAAGATCAGAAAGGCTGCTCGTCAGAGCAATCTTCCTCTCTACGAAAACACTAAGACTAGGAAGCGGGCGACAGGCTTGCAAGTAGTGTACGAGGGAGAAGACCAAAAGACGAAACTCGCCGATGCCGCCCGTGTTACGGTCGGGGAAATCTGGGAGATCCATGAATCAGCTCCAACCGGCGATCCAGACGCTTACCTAGGAGATGGAAAGACCGCACCCACACCTGGAGGTCTGCATAGCTCGAAGACCAGCAGAGTTGTGGTCACTGGCGTGGAGGGAGAGTTTCGAACTGGCTTCAGGATTACCAGCTGTAACGGCAAGCTCCAAGAAAAGATCGACAACATGGGAAAAGACATACGGTATCTCTTGATTCATCTCGAAGGTCGGCCAACACCACGTAATTCAGCCGGTCTTCCACTTCTGCGCATTACATCCTGGGTATCCTGGTATGAGTTATCGGCCATGGATATTGGCCATAGCGTCAGCTTCCGACCATCGATGAACGACCGACGAATAGGAAATGCTCACATCACCGATGTTGAGGAAGGTGTACTTCGGAGGACCGAGCGAGATGTCATGGGAGTCTCGACTTTGGCCCGAACGTTCGAAGAGACTCAGCCATACGGCCCATTCCCTCGCCAAAACACACGCACACGGTCTCGTTCGACAGTGGCAAATTCAGCATCGCCAGCTGCGCCGCATGCGCAATCTCAAGCCACTGCCTCGGCGTCCAATCCACCCTCTGGCCCGCGCTCTATGGCTGGAGGATTCGATCGGCTGGCGGCTCTGAACTCAGCAATTGATTGGAGTCTGGAACCTGAGCAGCGCGAAGCGAGGCCTGCAGCACGACCCACTCAACAACCTCTCACGAATCCACTCCCGCCCCCTCCACCTACGCCTACCCAGGCCCAAACAGACCGGGCTACTTCAGATGGTATCAACGCTCGTACGCCTGCGCAACATCACACGGAGACCGATCAGCCTGGTACAATAGTCACGAATGCTAAGCGCAAGAGGGACGACTCGGAAGAAGGGGCTCTCAAGAATGGCCGACGCCAATCCATTTGATTCGTCTCCTACAGGATTCCCTTTACCTTTTCCAGATATCCCGCCGACTTTCTGGGGCGACGTCGATTAAGTTTCTTTTCCGTGCAGGATTAGCGTTGCAATCCGCGCTTCAGCTTTCTCGAGCCATGTTATCATTTGCACACTTGTTCAAGCTCATGAAATCTCTGCACGTATCATACCCAGCACCTTTCCTTCAACCTCACGTCCACAGAATAGCATAATGTCTTATCCTGTTCTACAATATCATAGTCAATGAATAGTCTCTCAATACAAATCCAAGCTCTCACTTTGCGCCCCTCATTGCTCATCAAAGCATAAAGACAAAGCATCAAACAAAGCTTTCTCGAAGTCTGTTCAGCTTTCAGACCGTACCCTTGCACAAGATTCCATCAATCTCTCCGCTGCCAGTAACCACTCCTCCGTCACCTGCCCATTATCGCCCTGTAGTCTCCACATCGCCCCCTCCCCGGTAGCAACAATGGATTCATTCATCTCACACAGCCATCGTGGGCTCTCATTCAGCCATATAGCCGTCCAGCTCGCCAGATGTATCAGCCCACCATGTCCCAGTGACGCAAGTCCTGACATCACCCACTCATACCGCTGCGACACGAATGCTCGTAGATCGTGGAACATTGCAGTGGTGACAGATGCGACCGTGGGGAAGTGCGCATCGACCAGGGTGCATATGGTGTCCAGAGTGATGCGCGAGAAGATGTGTGCGTTGACGAGCAGGTTGACGAAGAGCTTGAATGTAGGTTCGTGGAGTAGGATGGCGATGAGGAGTACGAAAAGCATGATATCACGGAACGTAAGGGCCATATTCGCGAGTCCAGCGTTGATATAGCTATCGGTAAGACGACGGGTTATCGAGACTGCTGGTGTTGATAGTGCGGGCCCGCCCCGCCGCTTGAAAGAGACGCTAGTCCTGATCTGGTTATGCACCTTGGCAGGTAGGCTGTCGGGAAGGTAGAAGAGTCAACACTTGGATGTTCCACGAGCTGCAGACCGCTAACAGAGTACATTCAATAGCACTCACTAGTAAAACGAATGCTCAGCACGGATCAAAAAGCCAGCTGTACCAGTCAAAGTTTCCGGCGATCTAGCGTGAATGTGACGGTCACGTGACAGATTGCACTTTCACTGCATCGCATACCAATCGTCAGTTGGAAGACGGATTGGATCACATACGTTTTGAACGCGAAGAAATGATAAGGCAAAGTTCTGAGTGCTCAGATATTCTTTTGTTACAGTTCTTCCACACTTCAACCGTAGAGGCAGCTACCGCTTGGTTCCCCTGTCCATCGTCTGCACGGTGCTGTACAACTAAGAGCCACTACCACGCGTCAATAATGACTCGTTTTAGAGCTCATGATCAATGGCAACTGGTACGTACGGAGTATCCGGGTTCGGCGCGCCTTTGACAAGCTTGAACCCGCCTGGCTGGAGGTACTGGAAGACTTGTTTCGGGTCGTACTTCTTCGATATTTGCATTAGCCGCTGCTTGTTCTTCGCTCCGTAGCTGCCGATGGGGTCTTGGTACTCGGATGCGTAATTGAGATACACAAAGTCGTTGTCCAGGTTCCTCCGCTTCGCTTCCGCTTTCACAAGTTTGATGATGTTGGCAATCACACTGTGAAACTTGGGCTCGTCTTCTTTTTTGTTCCAGGCAGCGTTGAAGTTGAGCACGAAGTATGGGCCGTTTGCTGGATCGATGCCTAGAGCATTTCCACCGTTCTTTTGCATGGCCTTGGTCGCGCTTTCGGTGATGGGCTGGATAGCCATGATGAGCAGGATCTTCTCGACGTCGGCGACGGTGGCTTCTTGCGTATAGAACGTATCGACGATGAACTCGAGCAGTGATCTGTCCATCTTCAGACTAATGCCCCACCAGGTCTGGAAGGCACCAGGAGCAGGAGCACCCTGATTGAGGAGATCGGCCATGCCGGACATCGGGCGAAGGCTAGTCGTGTCGTCGATGGCAGTGATGTTGTTCCAACGGGAGAAGACAGGCGCGTTCGCAATAGGCTTGGCATAATGAAGGTTGGCGAAAGCGACCTTGCCGATTCCAGGTGCGCTGGCGAAGGTCTAGACACATCAGCTTTCCGTACACGAGGAGTTATTTCAGCGCACTTACCACAATCTGGGCGGCATCTTCATCCTTGACAGAACCAGAGACTGTGAACTGATGAATCGCATCAAGCACCGCGGGGTATGCATCTTCGAGATACACCCGCTGGCCTCCCCACATCTGGCCAAGAGGAAAGGCGTCAAGCTTGAAGTTTGTGACGATTCCGAAGTTGTTGCCGCCTCCTCTCAGTGCCCAGTATAGGTCGGGATAAGTGGCCGCGCTGACGTTGATCGGAATACCCGAAGCCGTGACTAATTCGAAACTCGCCACATTATCACAAGCCCAACCGCGCTTGCTCGCGAAGTGAGATATGCCGCCCCCGAGGATAAGGCCAGGCACACCAACAGGGGCCATCTAATTCTATGATCAGCAACAGGACCATGACGTTGTGCAGATGCGTAGACTTACACGTCCTCCTGCGACACTCAGACCGTCTTTCTCGACAGCATTGTAGACGTCTATCCATCGAAGTCCAGGACCAATGTCGACCGTCTGCTTATCTGAGGCAACAACAGCCTGCTGAAAGTTTTCAAGCGATACTGTGATTCCATCTTCGATACTAGATGCACCGGCCCACGCAGCATGGCCACCGCCTTTTACGGCGAAGGGGCATTGGTACAATCTAGCCGCAAGCACCAATGTTGAGACCTCAATTGTCTTCGTGGGTTTAAACACACAAGAAGGTCGTACTAACCCTTGTTGTGCAGACCAGTATCCTCCGGTGAAGTTACTGTATGTGGTTGCTCCTTCAGCCAAGACCTTGTCGGTGCCGAAGAGTATCGTCAACGCGGTACACTAGGGTCTGTCAGCTTGCGCAACCCTGACTTCGTGGTATTGTGACAAAACTTACAGCATGTGAGCATTGCGCATCCGAGACACGGGCATTGAGTGCATTCGCAGGTTCTGGCAGAGCCGAAACGTCGACGCCGAGGTTTTCGAGAGCCGCAGTGATGTTGAAGTCTTGCGGCTCAAAAGCAGCGCCGCTGGCTTGTGCTCCCACACCGGCTGCAAGAGCTGCGATGGAAACAAGACATGTGACCTTCATCGTCGTTGATAGCTGCAACCAATTCTGCGAGTTGGGTCACTTGGCAGCGCGTTCGTGACAATAACCTGCGCGTTTGGGTCCCAAGGGCGCGTCGAGGTCTGGGGGGCCCGGGGCTCTCTCACTTGGGGGCCTCTTTGACAGCATACCAGTGCGCCGCATCCTTCTGCACCTCGCTTGGCTGTAAGCATCTAATTTGAGGTACGTGTCCGATCATTGGCGCAATGCTAAGCCTCCTGCAAGGAAACGGTTGGATCCTGCGGGATTGTGGCGATGTCGTGAGCGAAGCCTTGCCGTGTCTTGCACGAAATGGGACAGGCTGTCGGCTATTCCTACTCCGGCCTAGTGCGGTTCAGAGGAAGTCGCGTCTCGCAGCCCGTCGCCGCTATGAAGGTTACATCGACCAGCAGCCTATAGCACTTTCAAGGCCACAACAACATTCATTCCGAAAAGGGGATGAATCAAAGTCGAACAGTGATGCGCTCTGATGGCAGAAGGATGCTCGGAACGGGGATGGCTGTGCCGGCCGAGCGGCGGAGGCGGGACGACCCTGGAAATGAGAACCTTACTCTCGGTAACATCGCCCCCACCAGCCCGTGAACGATACTGCAGGTACTTCCAGGCCCCGCTGGACGACATCCTCAAGTGCCTCGATAAGAGACTTCCAAAGTGGTGCGCTATTGAGTGCCACCGACGAGGGAACCATGAGGGCCACCGCTTTTGCTAGACTGGTAGCACGATGGCAGTGCACGCTAGGTCTGCGCAACTGGGTTGTGCAATACCGGTCTTCGTGAGATATGCAGTAATACAGACCCACGTCGCAAAGTACCCTGTACGGCAGATCAGTCCGATCAAGGTAGACAGGCGCTTACGGGAATACTGATCTCATGCCTCCGTTTCGCAAGCGGTCAGATATCAAATACTTGATCTGATGTATCCACACGTTCCTGCTGGTGCTATTGATGTAAACTTTTCGCTACTTCGTTGATCGCTTCACACCTGGGCACCCAAATACCTGACGACATACAGTATTGGAACGCTTCACCGCGTCGGATGCTTGACAACACAATCCCGATATACCCAGAACAGGCACCATGACGTCCCAACAACTTGCAGATGTCACATGGGACAAGAATGCACCTCCAGCGACCATGAGCAGACGCGAACTGGAAGGCATCAACACCGCTATGCTGACTCTAACGTCTTTGGTCTTCGTCGCGCGCATTGTCATTCGATTATCCAAGCGGAGAACATTCGAGCTGCAAGACTTCTTTTGCTGTCTATCTTATCTTTTCTATGTCGCAATGCTTGTCATGTTCTTCAAGGAGAATGACCCGCTTTATCGAGCCGAGCGTGTTCAGAGAGGCGAGGCGCCGTTGTATCCAGGCCTCCGTGCGTACAACCATCTTTCCATACGCAGACAAAGCGACATGCTGACGGTCTCCAGTTCACGATGCAGGAATGGTCTATCGATGGCTGACAGCTGGCCAATTGTTGTACTATTCGTCTCTGACAGCAGTAAAACTATCACTGTTAGCCTTATACCGACTTCTATTGAACACAGCCTCGCCAAAGTATAACATCATGTGGTGGACGATTTTGATCTTTTGTGTTTTGGTAAGTACGACGCATGACCATCGTTTAGCGCTCATTACTAACACTCGAACAGTCTTATGTGGGAAGTGCTATGACTACCATCTTCGTCTGCGACGACCAAAAGGCGAAGTACAACTACGGCATGTGTGCGAAACCGAATGAGCAGAAGCGTGCGCAGTTCAGTCTATGGTTTGCGTACGCAGTAGATGTGGCCGGTGACCTCGTAGGTTCGCATGCCAGTCCTATCGATTACAGGATCTCACTGACAAGTGCAGTAATGTTCCTTCCGTTTCGTATGACCTGGAACCTACGGCTACCCAGGGCTCAAAAGCTTGGCATCTTCGTCCTCTTCGGAAGTGGTTGGATATGTATTGTATGTACTCAACGAGACATTTCCCGCATTCCAATAAGTACACTGACATTACTGTTGGTAGGTCTTCGCCACGCTTCGTGTCGTTCAAGTCAGCGTCAAAGACGGCTTGCCAAAGATACCAGACCCCAAGTGGTTGCAAATGTGGACCGTTATCGAGACTTCGATGGCGGTCATTATTGGATGCGCCCCAGCTTTCAACGCTCTTCGCCGTCGCTCTGACCATCACAACGTTGAGATATCGTCAGTTCGTCTGGATATGGAAACCGCATGTGGCGGTCAGACAATGCGGGCGGAACCTTATATGCGAGTGCTACGAACGAACGAGCAAGGGAGTGAAGAAGCTCTACATCCACGCAGCACGCCTGGACTGGCAATCTAGGTCGGAATCTGCGCCTGAGGCATCCCTGTCGGCATGTCATCTCATGAATCACCTCAACCAACGTTTTCTTTCCAGTGGCTTATCTGGTGATCCTCGTCCTACAAATTTGAACTTCCATACAGAGCTTCGGTCTTTTGAGTCCTGAACAATTCGACCTCGCGATTTTTTCTAGTGAAGGCGAACGCGGTAGCGCAGCAGCTGCTTGGGTGACGTCAGTCGAAAGCGCGCAGTCACCATAAACATCCTTCGCGATCTTTGATCTCTCAGTCAGATACCATGTTTCCAGACTTCTTGAGTCTATAGGTCTTGTTTTCGTTCACGTTCACTTTTTCCGACTCAGGACGACAGAGGCCAGTGTTGACGGCTGCGCGGCGTCATCGACGAGTGTAAACAACGACGCGTACACTGCGCGCGCTCTCACTCTGTTTCACCTCCGCATTTTTCTTGAAAACTCTTTCAGTCACCACTCGCCATCGCGCAATCTTGCAAGCTTGGCTTTACGTTGCATCTTGTCTCTCATCCAGACTTCCCTTGGCTCTCGTCCACAACCATTCAATTGACACAACACAACACCGCTCCGACCATATCAACACAACCTACAGGAGGTAAACAACCCTGAAGTCTACATCGCGTCAACATTTCCCCAACTCACGTTTCGGTGCGAGGGTAGACTGCAGGGTATTCGACTTTCACATTGGATTTGGTGCTTTCGCCTACCAGCTCCTCAGCAAACAAGATGCCTACCTTGCGCAAAGGGATCAGAGGCGCTTCCGAAATCCACATCTCGATTCATGACCCAAACCAGAAAATGAAGCTCAAGCCCCAGTCACAGCCTTCCGTCATGTCTATCACCACACAGAAGCGCAAACGCTACGCGGACGAGCAGACCAACCTGACCCTCACGTCACCAGCTAAGAAGCTCAAAACATCAACAGAATGCGCCCCAGTCACCACCGAAAAGCCTAAAACTACCAGTCGCAACACACCCGGCTCCAAATCCACGCTCATCCCCCGCGCCCCCCGCAAAAAAGCCACCCTCGGCGTCAAAGACTCATCCCTCCTCCTCATGCTCTGCGACAGCAGCACCACCCCTTCCAAAACAACCGAACTCCACTTCCGCAAGATCCCCCACTCCCTCATCGACTGGCACAACCCCCACCACATCTCCCAGATAAACGCATGGCGCAACCAGATTTACGGGCGCGCGGGCCTAAAAGCCCGCTCGGTGAGCCTCTGGTACGAAGCCGAAGAACTGTGGTTCGAGCTCTACTTCCAGCTCTCCATCGTCGAGGCGCGGAAACGCGGGATCATGCTGCCGGGGAGCAGGCAGGTGCGCGAGGCGTTTAATAAGACGTTTGTGGGGAGTGTGATCAAGGGGAGGAATGGAGAGGATTTGCCGCCGAGGGTGGAGCGCGAGGGAAATGCGTTTGCGTCGAAGTTTAATCGTATGTTTCCGGCGTTGAGGGCGAGGTTGAATGGGTGTGTTTTGGGGAGATCGGGGGATGTGTTTGTGCCGGTTATTACGTTTGGGATGGTGGAGAGGTATAGGGTGATGAAGGAGAGTTTGGCGAAGAGGGGCATTGAGGCTGAGTCGGAGTATGCGGATGGACTGGAGGAGTGGCGGTGGTTTCTGTCGCATCTGCCAGATGTCAAGATGGAGGCTGATGTCAAAGAGGAGGAGGTCAGGGAGATGAAGGCGAAAGAGCTCGATGCTGTTGTCGCCTTGATCAGCCTCGCCAACTCGTCAGTTGACTCTAGGTGTGACTAGAGTGCGTGTTGCGTACACTGTTGAAGTTGAACATCTTGACCGTGGCTAAGGTTATGTATACTTCCAGCTCAACATCCTTTCGTAGAATGGAAGACAACCTCACAGTATGATTGAACAGACAAGGAACATAGCGAGTCGAAGAGACGAGGCCATTGCTAGTGACTAGATTTCGCCAGATTTTCGCCAACCCACACATGTCCACGTTGCCTATCCATTGCACCGCAGTGACTCCAGATGTAGCACCTCTAGTCATCCACAAGTTCCACGATGTCGCCGAACTCTTGGAACAGCCACGGCTCCAGGTCCTTGAAAGCTTCGGGTACCGGCTTCTCCTCGACCAGCGAGACAACGGCCGGCTCATCGCCGAACATGTTTAATATGCCTGCTACCTCTTCGTCGACACACGCATCTTGTTGGTCGCCGGCTTTATGCATCTCGCGTGGCGTAGCCGTCTGTTGTTGCATATTTGGCGACGTGAATCCCTTTGCGGGTATAGCATTTACAATCTCGGCTTCGGCACTGTCTTCGCTGTCAAAGAAAGGCGATCGAGAGGTATTGATTGGCGCTTTGCGAGGCTGATCGGGATGACTGAACTCCGGCTTTCGCGGAACGTGATCTTCGAAATTGATCAAACTAGAGTCCATCTGCTTGTCACCTTCTCCGTAACCCATGTAGTCATTGTCGATGACGTTTTCGGGGGGCTGCATGGTATTAGTGTCGCTCTCACGAATCTCTTGAAGATTTTGAGAATCTGCAAGTCCAATGAAAGCCTCTCGAAGGACGGAGTCGTCATCATCAAAGGCATCAGATTCGTGATAGGCTACATGAGCTGCAGGCTCATAATCCATGCAATCTTCCGGCTCTTGTGGGCCACCGAGTGAGTTTTGCTGCGCAGACTGATGCTGAGGATGATCGAAGTCGACTGATGGCTCGTCAAATCGAGAATCACCGTAATCGCTTGATGTTGGATGCCGCTCGGGAGCGCAGCCGCCCATGAAGTCAAGACTATGCTCACCACCTTGAGAATAGCAATATGCTGGCTTCTTGTACATGACGGAATGAAGGGAAGAAGGTAGTTCTTTGCCCTGGATCGTCTTATGCAGCTGATGGAGGCCGCGATATTCTCTGGGTCCGTTGGTGCCATAGTCGGCTTTCTGCTTCTTTTCTTGCTGCGTGAGATCGAGCTCGTCAATCGGCGCAGAGACCTTCCTCTTAGATGCTGTGAGCTGAAGCTTAGTTTGCTTCTCTTTGCCTTTCGGCGGCGGTGGTTGCTGCGTCGGCTCAGGTCGATCTTCTCCCGATGGTACGCGTTTGGCGATAGCTTTCTTCTTCGATGGTTTATCCATACCAGTCTTGCAACACTGGTGCTTGCATGCACTCCGATCTTTGCACGGGTGATTGCAGGCCCACTTTCCATTAGCTAGCTGTACTGGCTCTGGGTCGTCTTGTTCAGCAGCAGCAATCGGCCGTTTGCTCTTTCCATCATCCTTGTTCTTGGTCGCTTTGTTCTTCGCAGTATTCTTCCGTGTGATGGAATCGATAGGGTCGGCGTAGTTCTCGATGTGATCAAAGTCAAGATCACGGAAGGAAGCGTTGACAAGAGCATCATCATCCACATCACCATCTCCATAGTCATCGCTGGTGGCGGACACCTTTCGGCTTGGTCTTGCAGTATCCGTGCGTCGCTTTGACATGTTAGACTGATGCGATGCTGGCCGCTCCGACTCCAAGCGCTTTGGGGTTGGAAACATAGATGCGGCGACCTGGGGCTTCACGGCGGCGGCACGCATACTGCCAGCTTGTAAAAGTCAGTCGCAGCTCCCAACATCGAGCCACAATACGTGCCTATGCCATCACACATGACGTAGCAGTTGATTGACTGGTCGGGGTTTGTCAAGAGCGCTGGGAATGTGAGGCTTTGGCCAGACCCAAGCTTTGGGCCACTGCGACAGGATTAGTACAGCGCAATACCGAGGTCGTAATGGCCCACCTGATGCGAGCAAAATGCACCTTGCGGCCATCGGAAGTGTCTACCAAAAGGCACACATATATGAGTTTGTTGTTGAAGCGCTGGGGCGGCTGCTCGTTGATGAAGCCAATGTCTGCCTTGATCTGGATTTTGACCCCATCGTGGGTTTTGATTGCCTGAATAGCATTAGAACATGCACTTCAAAGAGATATCGCAGACGTACGGTTGACGGTTGAGCATTAAGTGAGACGCGAAGCTTCGGAAACGACCGGACTTTCTCAAGCACGTCGAGGCCAAAAGGTGGATTCCGACCAACGAGTGCCTCGATCCGATAAGGCTCACAACCTTCAAGATCCTCCATGGACTTCAGCCCAGCGTTGACGAGCTTCCTGACGGCGACGTTGCCGATGCTTCCGATTTGCTTCATTTGGAGAGGGCTATCGTCCCAGATTCTGGCGCCTAAACTTCTTTCGAGCATGAGAGCACTGTGGATACTGATGGAGTCACCTAGGGCGATCTGACAGTCGATGATGCATCGAATCAGACTGCCAATATTCTTAAAGATGATCTGTGTCTCCGTCGTATATTGAGAACGATGTTTGCCGGCCTCGCCTTCCCAGGAGATATCGGCAGACCCAAGAACGGACTGTACGATGAGAGATACCTTCTGCGATGGTAGATCAAGGTTGACAGGGATAGCCCAGCGGATCGAAGCGGACTTGTTGAGCAGCTTGTAGAACGCCTTTTCGCCTTGACGAAAGCGTATTGTGGAGTACTCAACAGCCTGAGCGATGGCGGAAAGCTGTGTATGATTGTAAGTAAGATATTCCAAGTAGCATCAAGGTTGTGTGACTTACGATCTCCGAGGGAGTTGACTTCAGCCCGAGTTCCATAAAGACTTTCATGGTCTCGAAATGTACGTAGTACCGCGCCATAGCATGGCCAAACTCGGTGCATCGGAAGTACTCTTGGCCTGACACAAGATTGGTCTCGCGCAAGAGTGTAATGTCGCGAAAGCATATGTCGTCAACTTGCTCCTCGATGCTTTGACCACTTCGAGCGCCGTCCAATTTGTAGTAACTAGGATTCTGCTGGAGTCGGACGTAAAGGAATGTGCCTCTTAGCCATTTCCTAGCTGACTCTAGGTCGCTAATAGTGCCAAGTCCAATCTCGGCGTTCATGTGATCTACCAGGTTGAGATGAAGTTTGCTCTCTATAAGATCCTGGCCTGTGACCAACATCTCGTACCGTCGGACTTTCGCCTGCCTGGTCATAATCACTGCTACAGCTGAGTCATCGTACTGAGGTCGTCCCGCGCGACCCAGCATCTGCATCATCTCCAGGTCCGAATACTCCTGCATTCCTTCCGCACCCCAGGCCATGGTATTCTTGATGATGACGAGATGGCAGGGTAGGTTGACTCCGACCGCGAGCGTGGATGTGCAGCATATGACACTGATCTCGCCAGCGATGAAACCTTTTTCGATCTTGGTTCGATCATCGAGATCAAGTCCGGCGTGATGAAAGGCTACACCAGAAGACACGGTATCTCGAAGCTCCTTGTTCAGCAGCAGGGGTGGCTTAGACGGAGGCTTCCACATGCGATCTCGGTCTGATGCGAAGACCCACCAGTTTGCTATCAGCTTTGCCGTGCTGACTGTGGAGTTTCGGGTTGCGCAAAAGACCATGAGCGGCTTACGCTGCGAGTGAGAAGCGATAACCTCAGGGATCTTGGCATCGAGCACTTTTTCAAAGCCGAATTCGTTGCTGGAGTTGTACGCAAAGCCACGAACGTGCTTGCGTAGTTTGACTGGGCGAAATTCTTCACCAAACTTCTCATTGGCGGCTGGGATGTCTGGTTCCGACGAGTTCTTTCCTACCCATGCCGCAATGTCATGGAAGTTGGGCACTGTCGCTGATAAAGCCACAAAGCGCACATCCGTGCCGATTGATTTCATCCGCGAAACGACCGTCTCAAGCGTGGCACCACGGTCTTCCTTGAGTATATGAACCTCATCGATAAGAAAGACGCGGATGAGTCTCATCAGTTTCTCGTGGTCTTTCCACTTCCTGGTCATGCTGTCCCACTTCTCGGGTGTTGTTATGATGATGTTGGCGCTCTGTACGTTGCGTAGATCCCCAAGGTCGCTGTCGCCGGTCAGCTCGGCGCATTTGAGCCCCAACCTATTGAACTTGGCTTCCCAGTCACGTTGGCGTTCTGCGCACAAAGCCTTTGTCGGGGCTTGATAGACCACTTTGTACTGGCCAGTCGCGTTGGTGGCAACAGCTCGACAGACAGCGAGCTCGAGAATGACGGTCTTGCCACTTCCAGTAGGGGATGCAAGCACGAAGTTGTCATCGGTCCTGAAAACTCGGTCGAAACACTTGGACTGTACGGCGTTGAAGGTCGGGTAAGGAAACACCGTTCGAAGACGATCTGGTAGGGTAGTGACAGGGACCAGGCGGATACCTTGGCACATGGGAGCAGCGCTAGACACATCTTCTGGGTACGTCTGCGGCTCTGGGGAAACTTGTCGACGATGCGGAGGATTTAGGTCGCCTCTGTGCTGTGCGGCGGATGCGCGTTGCTGGCTAGCATGTGGTCGAAGACTGGGCAGTGCAGCCTTTGCATGGGAGCGCTCATGTTGTTGCCGGTACTCTTCAGCAACAACATGGCCGTTGCCTTCGAACGGTGGGGCCTGTGAGCCGTGTTGAGGTCCGAAATCAGTGACTTGCTCGGCACGCCGCTGACTTGCCCTGAGTGCTGGACTAGAAGACGGGCCGAGCGGCATGTCGGAACTGGACTCTTGAAGCGGAGCGGCATTGTAGGCGAACCGATCTGGACGGTGATCAGCATGGCCACTACCACCCATGGCAAACAGAGGTGCTTTCGACTCACTCATTTGACCTCGCATGGCCTGCTCAGGACGCGCATGGTACTCTGCTTCTCAGTCAGCAGGGGCCTCTCTGCAGTCCAGGCTAAAGTACCTTCTTCATAATACATATCCTGGTCACGAATCTGGTAAGACGGCTGCGATTGAGTAGGCGCCGCATTACTAAAGAACGTGGAAGGACCTGGTGCAATTGACAATCTCTTCTTGCCTTGTGCCGCTTGCCGCTGGAAGTCAGGATACGGTTGTCGAAGCACTCTGTCATCTGCAAGTGTGAGCGAAGAAGCTGCGGAAGCGAGGGGACCACATACCGAATGAATCAAGTTGCTGGCCTCGGTCATACATGCTATCGTCCTCAACCACGTCATACTGGGGGTCGTCATATTGAGTGGCGCGATAGCGATCCCGAGGTGCGACTGGTCTTCCAGGCTGCTTGAACTGAGGCCGAAGCATGTCGTACTGCGACGTGCGATGGGGAGCGCCGAACTGCTCGTAGCCATCATGCTGATAGCGGTCGTCGTCCATGATTGCTATACGCAGCTTGATCAGAGCCTCTTTGACGGTGGAGACGTGGCGGGATAAGTTCAGAATCTAGAGTGGGGCGTTAAGTGAGAGTTGAGATGAGAGGGAAGTGACGATGGAGGAAGTCGCGGCCTGACGTGCCACATCCAGATTTGGCGGAGTCACTCAACGGCAAACTTTGATCAAGGGAGGTAGTGAGCGCGTAGATCTCTGTCAGTTATGCGTGCACCTCGTCCGCATTGTGATCACATGGTCCCTGTATTACTATCGCTCAAGCATCTCGCTTATGAGAATGCCGTTCTATAGAGGGCGATTCCGGTGCTGCTTTTGGAGCAGCTTCATACACTGATGACCTCCGCGGCTTATTGGTATCGATGGTGCGATCTACCGTGGTCTTCTCGAAGTCGGCAATCCTGACTGGCAACGATTGCGAGCCCCGCTCCGGCTTGGTGTAAAGATAGGTCGCGAACAGCACGACGCATGTGCCTAGGAAGAACTGCCGATGGTCAGCATCATGAGCCTTACTGTGCCATTGGGAACTTACAGATTGCGTCACCCTGAAGTCAAAGAAGTAAACGCTTGCAATGCAACTAACCAAGATGGAGATCGATGTCGCAAAGTTCTTGGCGATATTATCGGCATAGTTGATGACGAGCGCAACCACAATGCCACCAGCTGCTTGAAGGCCGATAGCCGTCCACACCACCCAGTTGTAGCCGACGAAGAATCCAGTCTTCGCTATGATCTCCCCATCCTTCCATATCACGCCCAGGAACAACGACGGAAAGAGCGACCAGAAACAGAGCTGGCAGTTGCGGACCCAGAGCGGCGTCTGCTTGGCGCTCGTTGAGTCCTTCAAGATCTTCTCAAAGGTAACCCCGGCTAGGCCTGAAAGCGCGCAAGAGATCAGGACAGCCATGAGCCCGACCCGGTAATTCATGTGGGGTATCTGGGCTGCGCGATCCGCGTGTATGCCCTCGTATGACCCAGACCGTTTCCCTAGCCGCCCTGCGACATTCTCACCAAGGTCGTGCAGCTGCTCCAGCGTCTTGGTCCATGGCTTTGCACCAGATGCTCGTGGTGGTGACGGTGCAGTCGCTTGCGGTACTTGTATGATGGATACACCAATGATGAGAAGCAACAGTGATAGCCACTTGCGCGCCGAGAGTGTTCTACCCAGCATCAACACGCTGAAGATAGCCGTCGTCAGGATCTTGAGCTGGTAAGTCACCTGGAACGTCGCGGCGTCCAGGTTACTGACAGCGATGTATTGAAGGGAGTTTTGTATCGTGTATAACACGGCCGGTATCGCAAGCTTCCAGCTCTCGTTCGTAAAGATCGCGGTCGTAAGGGTACGGAACAGTGTGGGGATCGTCGTGTTCGAAGGAAGGTTGCCCGACATCTCGTGTAATGCCTAAGACGGTCGTGAGCCTAAAAGCACTTCATCCCTCTCAACCCGAGTGCCGTACCATAGTCAAGCTTATAGCGAGCTTGATGACCTCATTCAAGAAGACGCTTGTGCTCGCGTGGTATCGTTGCTCTCCAGTCAGAGGCATTATCCTGGAGTAATGCATAACCTGGGGTCGCGTCAGCCACTGTCACTCGTCGCATGCTTATCCACAGTATTCGCATGTTCTGTGTGCTCTTCGATCGCGTTGGGGTAGTGCTTCGCGGTGGATGGCAATCGTACCAGGATGAGGGCAGAGTTTTGAAATATAAGCTGTGTAGGGATTAGCTTCTGCGTATACAATGAGTGCGATAAAGATTGGCCTACTGTCACGAGAGAAACATGCTTCATAGGCACCCCGCCCAGAGTTCCTGAAGCCGACTTGACAACCATGGTGGGCTTCGCACTCGTGGGTTCGCTGTAGGGACGGTAATTCGCTAGTTGTGCATTGCGAAGGAGGTTTCGATAGCGATAGTATGTAAAACTATAGTGAATGCAAGGTCAAACCGGTGCAGGGCAAATGAGACATGTAGACTAGGTCCATCTTGAGTGCTGTCAGCTGAAGATGGGGCGCTGCTTCCGCTGCTCGAGCATCCGGCGCGATGAGCAGGGATACCTAGCGCCGCCGATCAAGCTTGGCGCTCTGGTCAATTTCCGATGACGCGCATCTCGACGCGTCACTGACAATCTCACCCTCACGACCACCACGGCACTCAATTACTTGCCATATATGAGAGACGTTCCGCACAGGTATCCTGAAGATTGCGCCAAGAAGAATGACTGTTTCAGTAGTACCCTAAGCGTTTCCGGGTATTTTGAGTATTGACCGTGGTGTAGGATTTGCTCATGCACCGCTGTCAGTTTTGCCATTACGAGTAACTTAGGTACTTCGTGATCGGATGAAAAAGGTTACAACTTGCCATGAAGGGCTATGACTACTGTATGGCGGCATGGTACTTCGGTCTGAGGCTGCGGCTGCGGCTGGGATGGTCGAATTTCGTCGAACCGAGGCCTGGCAAGGCTTTTGTCTATGCGTAGAGATACGACTGCGCCCGTCATTGGACTCAAGAACCTCCGGTGAGAGCTACAGCGCCACCTCATGGCGTTTTCGCAAGCATAGCGCCAATCAAACACAACACCAACGTTACACGCATGAGCTTTCCTTATTATTCGCTCACAGCATAGATTGCAGCTGACACGGAATGCAGCGGTCGCTGGTGCCTACCGCTGGACTTAAGCTGGGGCGCGAAGCGTGTTCCGTGATTTCTTCCGATCTCATTCATTGCCAGCGCTTTAACTCAACGTCAAACCCGCAGGACTTATAGGATCTGGTCGGTTCTTCCTCCACCACTCCAGCCGCCTCCGCTATAGCAATATACTTGAGCTCCTTAGCCTCACCGGCCCAACAATTCCACATCCCTCATCTCGAATACGCCCATTCCAAGCCTCGCCTCTTTCGCTTCCGATTTACCATGCTTCCATACCGATATTCAGCTCTTCCGCTTCCTGGAGCAGGCAAACACGTAAGGCTTCTGAGACTCAGTCCTGGCGACTTTTCAGATGACCTTCACGTGGAGTTGGAGCAAGTGCTTTTGGATGGAACTTCCACCTACGAGGCTCTATCCTACGTCTGGGGCTCGCCAGCCAATCCGGTTTCCATCCTCGTCGGTCCTTCCCGAGGCCACCCCATCTCGGTCACGCAAAATTTAGCAACCGCGTTACGGTATCTCAGATACGCCAACGAGTCCCGAACATTATGGGTAGACGCAGTTTGCATTGACCAGAGCAATCTGAATGAACGAAGCTATCAAGTCACCTTAATGGGCGATATCTACCGAGCGGCACTTCAGGTTGTTGTCTGGCTTGGGCCCGAGGAAGACGACTCTTTCGATGCCTTTGACGTCATGCGTGCCATCGGTTCGTGCATCGATGTGGATTGGATCAGTCACTCGTTCAAGCCCAAGGCTGCAGTCAACGATCTGTCTTACCATGTGCTAGTAGAGCTCCGACAGTACACCTTCCGAAATCATGAAGCTCATGCTGTCAATCGTCTCTTGCATCGACAGTGGTTTGAGCGTCTCTGGATTCGTCAAGAGATCGGGCTGGCCACTAAAGCAATTGTTCGTTGTGGTGAACTCTCTATGTCTTGGCTTCAGTTTACGAACGCTATCCTCTTTATCTACCGACAAGGTGGCGCGCTGATTACAGCACTTGGAGATCAATCCGCGAGTTTCATATCCCGTATTCTGCTGGTGTACAGGATTTGTCAAGGCGGGCCTTACCATCTCGAAACTTTGCGAACGGAGCTTGCGCATACTGTATGCGCAGACCCCCGAGACAGGATATATGGCGTGTTGAGCCTACTTCACCCATCTCTTCAGGGCTTAGGCATCATCCCGAATTATTCGAGAGATGTAGCTCTTGTCTATCAAGACGTCACTCTACGGTTCATTGAATTCGTGAGGGAACTATCTGTTCTCCATCAATGCGAGCTACAAGATATTCGGCGCCACATGCCAACATGGGTCCCAGACTGGTCGATTGACTCGAGAACGACGCCTATTCCCAGAATTTCAAGCAACGCAAGCGCTAATTTCAACTCGATTGCAACTGACAAAGGGGGAGGGATACTACGTGTGGTCGGCGTGGCGATCGCGACAATACAAGACGTCATACCCATTTGTCTCGGCGATCGCGAGGATGATTTTCAGACTATGCTAACGTTCCTTTGTTCTATGATCATATCCAATTCGCCTGTTTCCATGGGCTTAACGACATCTCAGGTGAGCGCAGCGTGTGACGCGCTTTGTTGCGGTCTCTTTCGCCATGCCATCATCCCGATCCGCGAAGACTTTCCGGACTTCAAGTCGGTCATACAAACATTCAAGTTTAAAATGGAAGGAAGGTTCCTCTTGTTCGACGACGTAGACTCGAAAGATGGTTGGGCCAAATACCAAAACAGCGTCGAACATTTGTGTCGCAACCGGTCTTTCTTCGTTACGACGGAAGGCTCGGTTGGCATCGTTCCACTATCCGCCAGACCGGATGACATAGTCTGTGTAATAATGGGATGCCACTCTGCCATCATACTTCGTCAGACCGGAGCCGGTACCTATCAAGTTGTTGGCGAGTCATACACATCAGGTATCAACACTGGTGAGACACTATTGGGGCCTTTACCAGAACATCTACGGCAATTGTTTTACTATGACGAGCACGCAAAGAGGGTCACACTTGCCTTTAGGAACGAGCGTACAGGGGAAGTGCAGTACGAAGATCCTAGACTGGACAAACTGCTCCTCAACACCGGCTTTCAAGCTCATGACCATGGAAAGGACTACTTTCCAACAATCGAGACAAGTGTAGAGGCGCTCAGAAACGCCGGTATTGCGGCTCAATACTTCGATCTTGTCTAGTCAGTTGCACTCGTCTTTATCTGTAAGCAGGACACTTCACTGGTACTGCGATAACGCAGAGCGAGTAGAACGCCAATCACGATTCCCACAATTCAATTTAATCCTATGCACAAAGTCACTCTTGGAAGAGTAAGATCGCAAATGTCAGATGCTGAAGCGCTTTGAATCCTGTTACTCTCGACTACCGCAACCATCCCGGAGTGATACCTCGGTTACTATTTATAGAATTGCGTCCATCGCACACTCTGATAGCAGTTTTTTCACACCTCGCAATTTCATGCAAGCGGGACATCTTCAATCTCACTGATCCGTTGAACCGCAGCCCTGAAACGCTCATACACCTCTTCGGCGGGGATATTGTATTGCACATCAAGGAGCTTTCCCCCTTGATCACTCTCGACAATGCCAAGAATGGCATAGTACATATCATGCAGCATAGTAGATCGACGATGCCGAAAGTCGAAGGCCACATCGAGCAAGTTCCTCTCCAAAATGAAGTACTCTCGCCGCGCAGCCTGCCGCATCTGTGACTCGAGAATGTAAAGCAAAGGCGTCCAGTCTAACTCACTCTCGTCTCGTCTGTGGAGGTTGTAGATTGGCGACACGACAGCAGCTTTGATGCGGAAGACTAACGCGCGTAAGGTACCCAGATCACAGGTCCAGCGAATCTTGTGCCTGCCACATTGTAGCGTTATTCGCCGTGCTAGCACCGCTTCTTGGACTGTCCACATCCTTCCGAACCACGGTCTCGTCAGTATGCGACTGACGCTCTGTTCGAGCTCGGGAATTGCGATGTGTGACCATGGGCTCTCTTCTCTCTGGCCATATCTTTCCATGAACGACTGCAGATGCTGCATGTCTATCTCAGTTTGCTCCGTGGACTGACCGAGGTACACGACGACACCATCCGCTGCTTTGTAGATCTCGTCCATCATATGAACTTGATCCTGTTTCTCCGTGTTGTGGTATTGATCGATGCACACTTGGTCGGTCCACAGTATTCTGATTGACGTTGGTGATTTCAGATTTTCGAGAGCGTCGTGGAGGTTTTTGGTGATCTTGAAGTTGCAACCATCGACCAGAATGTCGACGCGGTCATACATATCTCCCCACACGTAGGACATTGCTTCGTAAGAGGGAGCATTTCTTAAATCTTTCGTCACTAGAGTGGCCTTGATCGTGTCTCCAGGTGATCCAGGGTGCAGCTCGAGCAAACGGAATTGGTGTCTTTCTTCTAGCTGCGAATGCACGTATACATTCTCGCTCTGGAAAGGTTAGTTGCTGGTAAAGTTCCCGATTAAGGTGAACGCACCGAAGTGATGGTGGGCGGAACCCCTGGCGGATCCACAGTAAATCTGACCCAAACACCAAACGATAACTTCCAACCAGTCGGTAGCGGAATCAGCCATTTGTCGATGCGAAGGGGCAGAGATTTGAATGCGAAAGGCCAACGCCAGAACCGAGTCCAAGACGCCATTTAGGCACAGAAGCTGTGTGTGAGTTCGATAATTCCAGAGGCGACCGAAGCTCGCATGAACGCGAGCGCAGGAGCTGACAATGTGCGGGCGCAGCTATATACCCAAAGACGTTCCAGCTGAAACCAGAAACGAGCATGGCGATCCCGATGGTGTCTTTGCTTACACACCGCCAATCAGACTTGTTCGTTCCATGCATGAACGCCAGTGATCATTGGCTTAAAACCCGGCAAGGCAAGCTGAGTGCAGCCAACATCCAATGCAGCAGACCTTCAAGACTGCATCCCACTCGTGGGTCGCCACGACATTCGCTCGGCTGTAGTGCAGGACCAAGACACCAGATAACGACTTATACCTGGCTGCAGTGCAACAGAAACAGTACTCTGGGGTGCGTCCTCGTATATCATCCAAGTTCAGACCATCTTGTGCTTTTGATTCGGTGCCCACCTCCTGTTCTCTTCTAATCCGTGTTGTTTATACTTACACATCCCCGTACTCCGGACCTATGCATCTAGCATACTCACTCGAATCTGCGGTATCTCGATCAGTTGCTGTTGATGGGCTTTCAAAAGTAATAAATATAGGAGTTGATAGGATATTTCATTAACCTGTCGAAGGGCGCTACAAAACATATCCACCAAAACCGAATCCAGCACCCAATGCGATGCAAACATGCCCTATATACATAGATCATCATACAAATGAATCCCCATCAATCATCGCCAACGTCACCCAAGCGACTCCAAAAGTACTCGAAACCAGCACTCAGACACCATGGCAAAACCTCCTACATCTAATAAGAGTCCCCAAAAAACTGACTAGCAAGCATAATATCCCTATCCCCATTCGCAAAGTCCCACCCCACAATCGTCGGATCCTGACTACAACAGATAATCCTCCTGGCATCAAACTGCAGCTTGAACACACGCGAGTTAGTGCCGTTGTTGGTGAGAGGCGCGGCGAGGGGGTGAGGCTGGTGGTTATGATGGTGATGGTGGTGGTGCGGTGCAGCGTTGGCAGGGCCGGCGGCGCCTTGTTGTGCGGGTGCGGCGTTTGCGGTGGGAGGGTTGGGAGCTGTGAGAGCTGGGTTGGCGGTCGCAGGTGTGTTTGCGGGTGCGTTGGCGGCGTTCGCGGTGGGGCCATGCATTGCTTGGGATGCTGCGTGGAGGGCGTGAGCTTGTTGGGCGAGGGTTTGGGCTGCTTGGGCTTGGGCTTGAGCTTGCTGTGCGAGGGCTTGGAAGTTGTTTTGTTGTGCGGCTGTTTGGGGGTTTGCTTGCTGGTTCGGGGGTTGGGCAGGGTGGTTCGCGTTGGCTGCGTGGTTGACGGGTCTTCGGGGGCGGCCGCCGGCTGCTCGGACGGCGTCGTTTTGGAGGAGGGTTTGCGACTTCTCCCATGCTCCGTCTGGACCTCGCTTCCAGATGATGACTGTCTCGTCGTAGGAGCCGGAGACTATGCGCGCCCATTTGCTGCCGCCGCCACCGGGTGGTAGTTTGGCCCCGTAGGCGAATACCTTTGATGGGTCACGAGAACCGGCGTTACGAGCGCGTCGCTGTTCTCTGCTGAGGTTCTGACCAGTGAGCTGACCACTGGCCTGCGCTGCGAAGTAGTTCTGATCAATCGACCGCGCTTCGGCTTCAAGCTCCTCTTCGTTGCCAGGAAGGTCGCCGAATTGAGCTTGCACGGTGCGCACAAGATTACTGTGGCCGTTCAAGCAGGCCACTTCAGCCCCAGTTGCGCGGTCGAAGATGCGTACACTTTCGTCCGAGCTGCCACTAACGATGCGTCGTCCGTCGAACTGAACACATGCAATACCCTTTGTATGGCCCGAGAAGGTTCGCGTGCATGCTCCAGTGCGGACGTCCCAGCACTTGACACTTCTGTCTCCAGACGCAGAGACGATTTGGCCATCGAGAATCTGGATGGCATTGACTGCAGCGCCGTGTCCTTCCAAGGTCATGATCAGGCTGTACGGAAGGAGAGGTTTGAAGTGAAGGTGTTGGGCCTCGACGTGTTCCTGCATGTTGATAATGTAAGAAGGGAAGCGAGCGCCCGATTTCATGGTCGATGAAGGGTAGGTATCGTCCGTTGGCAGCATCTCTTTCCGGTTCCATACTTTGATCGTCTTGTCTTTCGAGCAAGTGACTAGGTAGCGATCGTCGAACCTGAGATTCAGGACCGACTCGGAATGCGCCTTCTCGATTTCCTTGATGATGCGTCCGGTGGAAAACTTCCACAGTATCACCCTGCAGTCGCTACCACCAGAGACTACAATGTCTTGTTCGGGGCGCTCGTCGAACTGTAAGCACAGCACGGACGCTGCGTGGCCGACGAGTGGCGGGTGTACAAGGCGCTGAGTGTCCAGGTTCCAGACCCTGATGCTCTTATCCCTGCTGCCGCTCACCAGGAACTTCCCAGAATACTGTATGGTATACACGCACTCGGTATGAGCTTCCTCGGGGTGGTTGGGATGTGGTAGCTGGAAATTGGAATATCGTCCGGTGCTCCAGTTTTCTTCTAACCTCCTCTTTTGCTTGTAGAGATATTGCCAGTTGATCCTTGCTTCAGGGCCGGGAAGCAAGAGCGAAGGGTGTATCGGAGGCCCGTTGTTCTCCGCGGAGGTGCCCGCCTGTGATGTCTCCTCAGTGACCGCGCCTTGTCTTCTTTCTCGGCGTGCCACATCAGTAGGCGAGGCCGTCGGCGATGCACCATGGAACGAGATGCCCTCCATCTTATCCTCAGACCTGACGGATGGACTGTCATCAGCCTCTACAGCACCGTGTTGTTCGCCCCAGGCATTGCCCGCAGAACCACTAACGGCCATTGGCTCTGATATGTTTTGTGTGCCATTCTCCGACGCGGCCCCGTCACCAAACAACTGCCGTTCTCGCACGCGCTTCTTGTGGGATGGTTTGCCGTAATCGGTGTCTTCGGCGGCTCTGTGTCGCGTCTTCCGCTCCTTCTCCTTAAACTCTGCGCGCTTCTGTCTTTGCGCCTCCTCGTATGCGCGCACCTGTGGGAAGTTGGAGTTCCAGCCCTCTAGCCTGAAAAGCAATTTCCATAAGGGGCTGTCGAGCACGCGTTCTCTCCACGAGCGGGACAGTGTCGACGCGCGTAATAGCGTCTCGGGGTTGAGATATGAGAGGATCTGGAAGGTGATCTCGGGTGGAAGGTACATGACAGGGTCGAGATGCAGGAGTGGGTTGAGCTTCTCGACGATGCCGGCTATCGAGGAGGTCCGCAGCGAGCGTAGTATGGCGTATGCGAATTCTTATGTGATGTCAGCGCAGACGCGCATGCTATCGTGATATGTACTTACCACTTCGTTCGTTCTCGCTCAGGTTCATGACCCAGTCAGGCAGGGCAAACGGCGAGTCGGCGTCCATCTCGGCGTCGGTTAAGCGCACGTCGCTGCGCATAGCCATGTCGCCCTCATTCTGGCTCCTCGTGTCCTCGGAGTAGCCTTCGTCGAAGCGGTTTGCGCTCATGGCAGAGGCGGGGCGGAAAGGATGCATGTAGGGCGGGCCCGAAAATTGGGCGTTGGGGTTGCCTAGAGGGCCTGCCATGGTGGTGCACGCGAGGATGTGGGTGAGTGGAGACAAAGGTCGCTAGCTGAAAAGTGATGCTGCGGCCGTTTGCAGCGCGCTGGACTCCGGCGAGAGGATTGTGTTATGCTGTCTCAACATGCGCTGGCAGGGTGTCGGGCTGGTGCTGCCTGGCGCTCTTGGTAATCAGGGTACTGGCGATGCGGAAAGCGACGGGTGGCGAGGTACGGGGTGCGATGCGCGTTCGGGATATCACGGCGGGGTGAGGTCAAGTCAAGGATGGAAATGTCAACTTCGCGATGGCTCTCCCACTTTCGCAGAGCCTCGAGATGCCCAGGTGCAGCATGTCATGGCTTCCCGCGACACACGCCCGTGCACCCGCGCCCATTCACTCCAGATCTGCCGCTAGCCGAGCTGCCTAGGGCATGCGGACTACTACTCGTGCGGCCAAGTCGCTGCATCTGAGACACACCAAGAGAGGGACGCTAGATGCCCGCTTAACGGTCTGATGCACTAGAAGTTGAAGGATGCGGGCTAGAAGAAATGCAACAATTCCCCGATGTCGTTGCTTTCATGTGAAGGTGTGCCGTCTACGTGAAGCAGCGATTAGTCAACGGTTGCGCAATCGCCTGTTTGAATTTTACTGTTGGGACGCGGAGAGTCAAGACTGTTTGAGGATGCCTGAGGATGCCTGACAGATGTGACAACTTCACGTGGATGTCTGACGGCTGTCTTGAAGCTTTTATTATATCGCCCAGGTAGCTGCGGGCGTTCAAGCGCCGATCGGGAACATCACCTGCTCTCGCGTTCGCCTGAGGTGGACCAATACTGTGTGCCCGTCGGACGGCATGGGAGAACGGGCGCGTATCCAGCCTCCCATGGCCTTCCCGGCAACCTCATGGCCAAAGAATGGGAATTGCTTCCTCACACCGCTCGACTGCCGCTCTCTAGCAATACTCGCATGAGCCGCGTGGTGTACTTGAGGCTAGCAAGGCTGGAGAAATGGGTCCGCGACGGGCAGGCAGAGGGGCGATCGCGGCCCAAGGCAGCGCCTGTGCCGACATGACGAACCGCAGGCGGCAGATGCTGGAGATGATGTGATAGGCA